GCCGCAGCCCATGTGCCGAGCCGCCGGCGGCTGCAGCTCCTGGCGGAGCCTCCCCCGGGCCGGGCCCACGCCGCCGCCGCCGCCTTCCTCCCCTGCCCTGCGCACCGCAGCGGGACGGCTCCTCGCTCACCCCGCGGCGCTGGGCCCGCTGCTGGAGGGCCGCGGCTGCGGCACCTGCGCGATTTATGTCTCCCGGGGAGGGGCGGCCGGCGGAGGGCAGGGAAGGGCAGGGGGGGGTTCCGCTGTCCCGGGGCGGCGGTGGGGAGCTGCTGCTGCTGGTGGTGGAATTTCCCTGCCCGCAGGAGCCCGCGGTGTGACCAGACCGGCCTCAGCGGTTGTGCCAAGCCGCGGTTGGCTTTTCCTAGCCCCGGGGGTTATTTCTGCCCGTCTCGGCCGCGCCGCCCCCGCGGGAGGGTGGAACGGGCAGTTCCAGCCCGGAGGCGCTTCCCTCTGTTCCCGATCTTCCCCTTCGGGCCCCTCTGTCATCCCCGGACCCCGCGTTGGAACGGGGTGGGCTGTGTCGGGTGCGCGCCGCCGGCAGAGCCATCTGCCCGGCTGAAGTTTTAACGTCACGGGGAGATTGAATCATCTTTGTGCTCAGTGAAAGCGATGTAGTTACTAAATCCCTGATATTTGTGTACAGTTCTTATCCCTCTGACGACTAAAGTCTGCAGCAGCAAGCGTTAAACTTACTCTGAGCAGAGAATGACATAACACATACATACCCATCTGGTAACCTTCATGGGCTACAAGCATCCCAAAGCAGTAGCCCTGACAGCACTCCCCTTCTTTTCATTTTTGACATAGCAGTAGGATGTGGCAGCCCATTTCTTTTATGGTCTGCCTAGGATCTTTCCTCGTAGTTTCTATGCTGCTTTCAGATGAAAAAGGAAAGGGAAATGTTTTGCTATTTAGCGTTACTTACAAAGTTTTAAATGTACCAAGTATAATTTAAAAGTAGCGCCTTGTGCTTATAATTTTCCTTAACTTATTCTCAAATTGAAAATATTTCAAGTAGACATTATTCCCTTGAGCACTTCATGTAATGTTAAATCTGCTTTCAGGGGGAAAAGCGCTTTTTTTTTTTACTTTTCGTAATGGTTTTTAAACATATTACAGCAAGTATGAAACAAACGGCAAAGTATTTTTGTAGAACTAAATAGGATGGTTTTCAAATAATAACCTTAAACTTCTTTTAAGTTAATATATAATTGGAGATATTACATGAAAGAGGTATAATTTTTCCTAGCCACATAGACAAGAGTTAGTCATTCAATATACTGTGCCAAACACATAATAGAAATAGAAGCAGAAAATGCACATCAAGACATCTACTGGTTTATATTGAAAAAGTTACAATCCTTGGATTATTTAGTTTAATAGTAACTCTGTGAATACATACATTGATTCCTGTTAATAAGATTATACTGAACTTGAATGAAATAAGCAGGCTCTTTGGTATACTTGTATGTAAAATGATACTTTTTTGTTTTAAAGTTTTTTTGGTTCTGTCTCCTACAATTGATCTACTATTGCAGTGCAGTTTTGATTGTTTTTAATCTGGTTACATAGATCCAGCTAAAGGCATAAGGCCTTAAGTAGCATAGTTTTCTAGTTATCATGGATCCAACTGCCCTATGGCTTTATTTGTATTTTATTAATTTTTCAATTTTAGTGCAGATTTTAGCCATTACCAAGTAAATATTCTTCAAACTAACACTGAAAAATGCTAACATTGAAGAAAATAATTTCATCGTTCTTAATGATTCAGAATTGACAAATATTGCTGCATTTTCAACTTGAAATATTTTACATGAGAATATGAAGTGTGAATGATACTAACATTGCTTATATTGATAGTTTTGATTGTAAATTGAATAGCAAACAACAGTAACTTGAGTAGTTCTGCCCAGAATTTTTCTACAGTGGGAAAGGGGCACCACCAAACCCACCCTGATGTGTCTGTTTGTTATACTGTTGTATACTAAATCCATAAGTAGAAAAGAGTGGATTTCGTGAGTCTTTAGGACCAGTTCTGGAAGTTCCAGATTGGCCTGTGTATCTTTTTTTGCAAAAAAATCCCCAACAAACACGAATGAAAGAACTTGGGATACATTTTCAAGGATGACTGATAAAAGAAGTATCTGGCACTTCTTTATATTATAAATTTTACATATAGTATATAAAAACACATATTGTGTATAAAATATACGTGTGTTTATATAGCGGAACTTGAATAGGTTCTTTTTAGACAGTGTTTCAGAAGTAAATTTCACTGTAAGACTTTCTGTCCGGCTTCTCCACCCCTCACCCTGCAGCTTTGCCCACATCACAAAGTATGTTTTCATGTAAATTTATACATATTGACTTCTCATTTAACCTCCAACAGTACCACATTATTGCCTGTGGTTTATGGTTACATATGTTTAAAGGAAGTGGAAACAGCTATTGCCTTTAGCTTTCCCTCAAAACAGAAAAAAATTACTCTTTATAACTTTAGTACCAATTGATTTTCCTTACAAGTAAGGAATTGTAGAAAAAGCTACAATTAGTATTTTTTCTAGAAAATTACATTTATAATAAGAAGCGTGATTTGACATTTGGATGGTCTTTAATATAGTCACAGCGAAATGACTAATACAAGTAAATACCAGAATTACTTTCCTTTCCTAACATTTCAAGGAAAAAAAATAAACCTTATTTTTGTAAATTATGTTCTTGCAAATTACCATTTGCTGTAGGAGACATCGGTGTTTCAGAATAATTATGGTAGGAATACATTTTCATATCGTATCATGGGTTTTAAATATAAATATGCCATTTACTATTGATTGGTATATTTAAGTGTCTAGCACTCAAGTCCATAGCCCTTGTAAAGGAAAAGACAATAGCTGTTACAGTGCTAATCAGCCTACACTTGAAAAATATTTATCTTGCCCAGCCTGCAGGCCAACAGTTGCAGGCACCCTTGGAATTATTCTGTCCAGCTGTATTGAATAGCACCTACACTATCCACTAAACGTCCTCAAAATCTTTAGCTATTTATATAGTCATTCTGAAAGGTTTTATAAAGTTAGTGGCATTAGGCTTCCACATATAGTAGAGGGAGAAATCTAAATAGGACTGGGTTGTAATTTTAGCATTGTACATGTATACATTTTAATATTTTATAAAACCTTTTCTCCTAGGTATTATGGAAGAAGGAAGCAGCGTTGCAGTATTGATGCCAAATATTGGGGAACAGGAAGCTGTGTTGATTTCTGAAACGCTCATTGGCCCAACACTGCAGACCAGTGAAGATCAGAGAAAATGCAAGACTGATCCACTAATCCATGTTATCCAGAAACTGAGCAAAATAGTTGAGAGTGAGAAGTCACAAAGATGCCTTTTAATAGGGAAAAAACGTTCCCATCCTAATGCTTCTGCCCAGTCCTTTGACACAGATGATCTTTGTGAAATCCCAGCTAAAGCAATTGAGCTATCTGTTATTGCTACTAAAAAGACTGAAGAGTTACAAGCAGATTATTTTGTGACTGAATGTCTTCCACAAAGCAAAAAAAAGGTGACGTGCTACCAGTGTAGTCTATGTAAGTTTCTGTCACCTTCTCTCTTAACACTACAAGAACATATAAAACAACATGGGCAGAAAAACGAAGTGATATTAATGTGCTCAGAATGTCATTTTGCTTCTAAAAGCCAAGAAGAACTTGAATCCCACTTCCAAAATTACCATGAGAACGATGGTAAAAATAGCATCCAGACAAAAGCACAGCAATGTGTAAACGTCGCTAGTTCATTTTTGCAAGGGCCATTGGAAGGAAATGTCAAATCAGGGACTGATCAGCCAGGAAATCTGGAGTGTAAAGACAGAACTCAATCTACCCGTACGCCTGAAATGGGCAGGAGAAAATGGTATACTTATGAGCAGTATGGCATGTACCGGTGTTTAATTTGTCGGTACACCTGCGGTCAGCAAAGGATGTTGAAAACTCACGCTTGGAAGCATGCGGGTGAGGTTGATTGCTCCTATCCTATCTTTGAGGAAGAAAATGAAACTGCCAACTTGTCAGAGATGGTTGTAACTCACACACCTCACAGCGTGGATACAGTTGTTCTTTCTTTGGAAAACAATGAACTCGATATCCATAGTGAGCCTTCTCTTCAGCTTCAGATTTGCAATTCTGAGCAAGTGCCAGGCAAATTGCCAGTAGGAACAAATATAAAAGAGGAAGAGATGTTAAGTCAGTCTGTAGTGCATTCTCCTACTACAGAGGTTTTAGAGGAGACTGTTTCAGATACAGAACAGGATAATATGATAGCTGACAGCCTACTTTCATCAGCACAGAAAATCATTAATTGTAGTCCAAATAAAAAGGGTCACGTTAATGTAATAGTAGAGCTTTTGCCAGGTGCTGAAGAAAGTGTCTTACAAAAGCCTTTCTTGATGAACACTGACATTGAAACAGAAAAAAAATTAATTTCAGAGGAGTCTCGTGTTACCTGTGAAGAACGTGATGAAGTTTATCATTCAGATGAAATCCAAGAAGTAATAATAGGATGGAATAATGCTGAGAAGAAAGACAATGAATTAAGCTCTAATAAAAATGTAACAACTGATGAAAATGCACCTCCTGTACGAAGAAGGACAAATTCGGAGTCTTTACGTCTGCACTCGTTAGCTGCAGAAGCTCTTGTTACCATGCCTATCAGAGCTGCAGAGCTAACGAGGTCTGGCTTCAGGACTCTGACTGGGGAAGACGCTGCAGGTGCAGGGCAGGGGGAAGCTGATGGCCCACGCGTGACTCATTCTAAAGTGGTGTCCTCACTTAAGAATTCTTCAGAGGAGTTTAGCAGCTTAAACCAAAGTGAATGTGCAATAGTCGAGATACAGAAGGAAAGGCCAGATTTATCAGAAGCACCAATTAAAATGGGCATCAGTATGTCACTGCTCACTGTCATTGAAAAACTGAAGGAGAGGACAGATCAGAACGCTTCTGATGATGACATTTTGAAAGAGTTACAAGACAACGCACAATGCCAAAATGCAAATGATGCAAATATTCCTGGAAGTAACCTAGTAGAATATATACCTAACGTAGAGCGACCCTACCGGTGCCGCCTCTGCCATTATAGCAGCGGTAATAAGGGGTACATCAAACAACACCTGAGAGTCCACCGTCAGAGGCAGCCATACCAGTGTCCTATCTGTGAACACATCGCTGACGATAGTAAGGATTTAGAGAGCCACATGATCAACCACTGCAAAACAAGAATGTATCAGTGCAAGCAATGTGAAGAATCCTTTCATTATAAGGTAAAGTCCTTTCCTGTACCTGTCTATAATAGCTAAATAACTTATTTTGCTGCTTTTCTTTACTAACGGTTCTTTCTAACTGAAGTCCGTCTGACATCCTGGCTTCATTGTCACTACAACTGGGGATTATTGCCAGCAGCCCTTTCCAAATATACAATTCAGCTAAAATTATTCTGCTTTACCTACTGAAATTAACTTGCTTCCTCACATAAGTTATTTTCCTGAGAACCATCTTAGGGGCATATTAATATCATGTTGTTTTTCTGCCCACGTGTAGCAACTACTAGAAAAATGGAAGCATCAGATAACTTAATAGTTGAAACTTTAAACAGATGCTCAAACATGCCCGCTAGTTATAAGTGTTTTCTACTGTTGTTGTGTTGGGCTGGATGTTCTGTAGAACTTAGATCTGAAAGATTACACACCAGAATAAGGTACTTCTGCCATTTTTATAATCACTGTTTTCAGCATTAGTGCTGGTGAGTGTGTTCCTGTGTACTCAGTTCAGTACTCAGGAATATAGAATGGATAGCATCAGTATCTACCTGTACAACTGAAATGCTTGCAGGCAATGGTAGTGGAAAGTTTCCCATATTTACTGTTGTTTAGTCCTACTATGAAAAAATGTACAGGTAGGGTAGCAAAAGGCTGCTCTCTCCATTTTCCTCCCCAAGCAAGTAGAAATAGGTATAACATATTCTTAAGTCACTAGGCAATATGAAAATTGAGTCAGTTTTCACACAAACCACCCTCTAACCTCTAATCTAATACTGTTTTTGGAGTATAACAATTCTGGAGGAAGAACTGTTTGCCACTTTTCTGTGGGAGCGGGGGAAGAAGGAAATTTATTTTCTAAATAAACAGAAATCGTATAATCTCAGTCACTCATCAATCCTTTATGTTATTAATGTAATTTACTTTGTTTTGTTTAATAAAATTATCTGAGGCATAATCTGCATATATGTTAACGTACATTTTATAGCAGCTGTCATTAAAACTTGAGTAACAATGTCACACATTATTGCAAAATTTTAAGTGACCAGTGTATGTTTATAATGTATATTTAAATGTGGAAAATTGCTTTTTCAGAGCCAACTGCGAAATCATGAAAGAGAACAACACAGTCTTCCAGACATCTTTTCAACAGCTACATCGAACAAACTAATAGTTTCCAATGAAGTAGATGAAAGAGAAGGTACTGTTTATATTTACACTTAGAATTACAAAAAGTCACTCATAACATTACTTCTGTTTGCTATATTTGTATAAAATAGGTCTTAAGATCTCATTCAGGCTGAAATGTTTTCATGCCTGTTCATAACAGAATCACAGAATCTTCATGGTTGGAAGGGACCTTTGAGATCATCGAGCCAACCAAAAAAAAAAAAAAACCAAACCAAAAAAACCCCCCCACATAACCTTAACTATATGTTCTTTTCAGTGTGAAAACTTACTACAGTCAGTTTTGAGATATCTTAGTGGCATTTATTGGTAGGTAAGACATTTTTCATCCCTGTAATTGGACCTTGTGTTCATTCTTATAAAAATAATTGGTATGGAGTATTACTCTGAATTTTTAAGGGAAAAAAATCTTTTTTTCCTTCAGCAGCTACAGTATTTTCTGAATCACCTACGGTAAACAAAATAAAGCCTTTTTCAAACTCACTGTGGTAATGTAGTTTGCTGTCAGCATATACATACAATACTGTCCATTCTGCATTTAGAAAATTCTATTTAGTGATGGTAGTGTCCAAAATGAGTCATTTGTTTTAGCCCTAGAGAGGCAAACATAAGGCATTCTAAAAACGCAACCTGTATCTATAATAGTTGCCGGGGTAACAGTAGGTATGCATTTTCTAAATGTTTGTTTAACTGTGTATCTGCTTATAATTGAATAGTGTTTGTTTTAAAAACAGCAACAAAACCCAAACCCTTGATTTGTTAAGGTAGTGAAATAGGGGAAAAATAGCCAAATTTTGAAGTTTAGGAGAAAATGTCTTAAAATCCTTTGAGTATCTGGGAGGCCCAATATTTATTATTGCAACTTGAATGCATCCTCTTCTCTGGGGAGTTAAAAGTTCTTGTAAATATTTACAGCATTTTTATTCTGAAGGCAACACTGAAATTATTAGTATTTTGCAATATTGAAGCATTGTGGAAAAATACTGGTAATTATATCACCTCTGAAAAACTGTTGGCTGAAGTATTTCCATTATGTGCACATAGCTCCCTTCTGTCCTAACTGTGGTCTCTTCTTTGTTTAAATAGCAAAACGTACACTATAATATTACTTAGACTGCAGTTAAAATTTCTGTGTTCTACTCTCGCCGCTACAGCTGATCAGTGAGTGTGCAAGTAATCATTGACATCGATCCAACTACTTGTGAAAAAAGGTTCTAACCAGCACGAGCCAGGGTGGACGGCTTGAACCATTAATGATTTGACGTGGTACATGTTAGAATAAAATGAAATCCTCAACTCTAGACTTCTGTTAATTCATGCTGCCTCTTTTCCTGGCTTTCAGTGTATAAGTTAGAAACATGAAAGTTAATTAACTTCATCACCCTTAGGTAAAATGACCCTTCCTTTCTCTTTTGTACTCTCATCAGTGTAGAAAGTATTTCGATTCAGGGAACTGCTGTGTGGTGCTTACTACATCTCTTAAGACCTAAGCTTGAGAGAGCCATCTGAAGTCAGGGGGAGGCAGAAGAAAGGCTAGAGAGGGTCTGCTGGAGTGGGAATGATCCCTCTTCAGTAGGTTTATTTTTTTCTTCTTTCAGAAGAAATAGCATAAAAGTTTTAATGGGAGTGATAGGAAATAAAATATTGTTAGTTTAGCTGGTTCCAAATATCTGTGAGCACAGCTTGGACTGTTACTTCTGACAATGTTTTGTTTCTTCTAAAACAAGATTTCTAAAGAGGGCACAATAAAAGAATAACTACCTTGTCTGTGGGAGCGGGGGAAGAAGGAAATTTATTTTCTAAATAAACAGAAATCGTATAATCTCAGTCACTCATCAATCCTTTATGTTATTAATGTAATTTACTTTGTTTTGTTTAATAAAATTATCTGAGGCATAATCTGCATATATGTTAACGTACATTTTATAGCAGCTGTCATTAAAACTTGAGTAACAATGTCACACATTATTGCAAAATTTTAAGTGACCAGTGTATGTTTATAATGTATATTTAAATGTGGAAAATTGCTTTTTCAGAGCCAACTGCGAAATCATGAAAGAGAACAACACAGTCTTCCAGACATCTTTTCAACAGCTACATCGAACAAACTAATAGTTTCCAATGAAGTAGATGAAAGAGAAGGTACTGTTTATATTTACACTTAGAATTACAAAAAGTCACTCATAACATTACTTCTGTTTGCTATATTTGTATAAAATAGGTCTTAAGATCTCATTCAGGCTGAAATGTTTTCATGCCTGTTCATAACAGAATCACAGAATCTTCATGGTTGGAAGGGACCTTTGAGATCATCGAGCCAACCAAAAAAAAAAAAAAACCAAACCAAAAAAACCCCCCCACATAACCTTAACTATATGTTCTTTTCAGTGTGAAAACTTACTACAGTCAGTTTTGAGATATCTTAGTGGCATTTATTGGTAGGTAAGACATTTTTCATCCCTGTAATTGGACCTTGTGTTCATTCTTATAAAAATAATTGGTATGGAGTATTACTCTGAATTTTTAAGGGAAAAAAATCTTTTTTTCCTTCAGCAGCTACAGTATTTTCTGAATCACCTACGGTAAACAAAATAAAGCCTTTTTCAAACTCACTGTGGTAATGTAGTTTGCTGTCAGCATATACATACAATACTGTCCATTCTGCATTTAGAAAATTCTATTTAGTGATGGTAGTGTCCAAAATGAGTCATTTGTTTTAGCCCTAGAGAGGCAAACATAAGGCATTCTAAAAACGCAACCTGTATCTATAATAGTTGCCGGGGTAACAGTAGGTATGCATTTTCTAAATGTTTGTTTAACTGTGTATCTGCTTATAATTGAATAGTGTTTGTTTTAAAAACAGCAACAAAACCCAAACCCTTGATTTGTTAAGGTAGTGAAATAGGGGAAAAATAGCCAAATTTTGAAGTTTAGGAGAAAATGTCTTAAAATCCTTTGAGTATCTGGGAGGCCCAATATTTATTATTGCAACTTGAATGCATCCTCTTCTCTGGGGAGTTAAAAGTTCTTGTAAATATTTACAGCATTTTTATTCTGAAGGCAACACTGAAATTATTAGTATTTTGCAATATTGAAGCATTGTGGAAAAATACTGGTAATTATATCACCTCTGAAAAACTGTTGGCTGAAGTATTTCCATTATGTGCACATAGCTCCCTTCTGTCCTAACTGTGGTCTCTTCTTTGTTTAAATAGCAAAACGTACACTATAATATTACTTAGACTGCAGTTAAAATTTCTGTGTTCTACTCTCGCCGCTACAGCTGATCAGTGAGTGTGCAAGTAATCATTGACATCGATCCAACTACTTGTGAAAAAAGGTTCTAACCAGCACGAGCCAGGGTGGACGGCTTGAACCATTAATGATTTGACGTGGTACATGTTAGAATAAAATGAAATCCTCAACTCTAGACTTCTGTTAATTCATGCTGCCTCTTTTCCTGGCTTTCAGTGTATAAGTTAGAAACATGAAAGTTAATTAACTTCATCACCCTTAGGTAAAATGACCCTTCCTTTCTCTTTTGTACTCTCATCAGTGTAGAAAGTATTTCGATTCAGGGAACTGCTGTGTGGTGCTTACTACATCTCTTAAGACCTAAGCTTGAGACAGCCATCTGAAGTCAGGGGGAGGCAGAAGGTCCAGCAGACCTAGAGAGGGTCTGCTGGAAGTGGGAATGATCCCTCTTCAGTAGGTTTATTTTTTTCTTCTTTCAGAAGAAATAGCATAAAAGTTTTAATGGGAGTGATAGGAAATAAAATATTGTTAGTTTAGCTGGTTCCAAATATCTGTGAGCACAGCTTGGACTGTTACTTCTGACAATGTTTTGTTTCTTCTAAAACAAGATTTCTAAAGAGGGCACAATAAAAGAATAACTACCTTGTAATGCCTGAAACATGTCAGATTTGGGGAAATACTGTACCTTTTGAGCTGAAGTCCTGTTAAGGGGCCTGAAAATCAAGATGCCTATCTGCTTGCTTTTGAAAATAGTACATTTTAATACAGTGGTTTTAGAGTTTGTATTCTGATCTTGTAACTTAACTTCCATCACAGAGGAGCCCCTGTTGGAGAAAACTGCCTGCTTTCAATTTAATTACTTCAGAGATTTTTTAAAAAATATTTTTTGCTCATTATTATCTTATAAAAGTGTTACAGCCACGCACCTTAATTGATTGTTTACCCCACATAAAATTTAGTAGTGTGGCTTGAATGAAAACAGTTCTCCTTTTAAACTTTTATTAACTCGTACTCTGGAATGCTTAAATTATTTCAGAACCAATTTATAATCAAATTGCAACGCCACTGCAGTACAGCAATCTCTTGTCAAACAGATGTCATCTCTATAAAGCAACACAAAACAAAGAAGTTTATGGCATAGCATCTGTTTATGTGAAAGAGGCCTGAGCTGGAACAGTTTCATTTCTTGTTTATGAAATACTTAGTCCTAAAAGTCTCTTTATTCATCATGGTTGTACAATAAATTAAAAGGGAGCATTATGACACTGGATATGATCGGATTGTAAATGTCTAATAATGAAGGAATAGGGTAATAAGCAGCATTACAGGAGCACCTGTTACTGCTGCTAGAACAAAGATCTGTCATTTCCCTGTTCACTTTTAAGAGACCTGATATCCTCCATCCAGAAAGCAAAAAAGGCCCCAAACCCAAAAGAAATAAACCAGTAGGGCGTGGGGGACATAACTGCTGTTTTGCTACAGCCAGAGATTATATGATGTATTATAATTCATGTGCATTTTGTTGAAGGAATAAATATAAAGTAGTGATTGGTATAAATAATTGCTCCTAAGTGTGTGCTACTGGCTGGTTAGCCACTTATGCAATAGAAAATATGTTTGCATAACGCTTTAAAAATCTCATTAAATACTGTTTGTTTTAAGCTGCCTGCTCAATAAAATACCAAATTCGTAACAGAAAATACATTTGGAAGCAGTTTATTCTAAAGCTGCAGAATTTAAGATGGAAAATCCATCCAAGTAGAGCATGCAATAGCTCAACCTTCACACAACCCCTGCTCTCCCATAGATCTGCAGCCCAGTTAAGTGTCTTTGTATTCGAAGTCTTCTGCCTAAGTGTGCATTCATAAAAGAATAACTGTAGAACTATAAATTCCAAAGTCTTAAAGTATATGATTAAGATTATTTGGGTAATTTACATTAAAGGAAAAAAAACTTATGCATAATTTTTTTATATTTGGGTAATTTACATTAAAGGAAAAAAACCTTACGAATAATTTTTTTAAAGCTATATGAGCACATAGTAGGAAAAATTCTGATATATTTTGCTTTAAGGTTGCATTGCAGAGAGTTCACGTTCTATATTACTTCCATATTTTTTAATAAGAACACTAGAAGACTGAGCACTTTGTCATATTTTAAAGTAAAAAGTATAAAATAGTTTTTCTGTTATCCTGGTACACACCGAATTATTCAAATTTTATTGAGATTTAATCTTTTATCGAGATTACTATTTTATTTTGTATGACATACTATATATTCTTCAGAATAACCCTCAGGGGTTATCACCCCTACTTAATTACTTTGCATCTTGAACCGTAAGTGCTGGATTTTGGAGTGAAAGTTTAATTAGTGGTAATTTTCACTTACTGTTTAAGTTAGCTGTATTCCCTCACAATAATATCTCTAAAACTTTTTTTTGGGTATAATTCAGTGCCTACCTGTGTTAAAAAAAAAAAGTCAAAGTGAAATGTTGAACTTCCATTTTGGATGACTCATTCTACTGTTCCATTCTGCAATGTGTCCTTGAGAGAGTTTTACCCCAATGATTCTTAATTACTGCTTTGATAATGAAAAGATTCAGTCTGGGTTATTGGAGTCCAGCATCATCAAGAGGATACTCCAGAAAAAAATTATCTTTATAAAATCCATTCAGCATTTTGGACTCAGAACACAGACCTCTGTTTTCAAGATAAACTCAACAGTTCCTCCTGAGTTCAATCTGCTTCTCTCTTTCCTCGCTTCTTCAGCTAAAAAGAATTGGAATTCAGGAGTTGATAAAGGAGGGGGTTTCAGTCATTTTTTATTACTGCAAACTGGAAAGAATTTCATCCTATTTGGGCCTAAGCAGAGACGTGTTTAAAAAAAGTCTGCTTTCCATCTTTTTGGGCAGTCACTTACTTCAAATTTCCAGCTTGTCTCCCTTTTCAACCTGCAAGTCAAGCAGTGGCAGACAGACCCTCCCCTCAGTGTGACACGGACCTTCACTGCTCTTGACCTTGGCCAGCCTTAACAGAATTCTCCAGGATTCAGAGTAGAGGGATCCCCTTTGGGAAATCAGAACTTAAATTTTTCAGGGAGGGGAGTTATTTTTGGTTTGGGGAGGAGCTGGGAGGCCTGGGAAGTAGATCACCTGCTGATATTATCAGAGTTCTTAAGGTAGGATCTACTAAAAAACATCCAGCTAATACACCCTTTTCTGTTCCACCTAGGATCTTCTGGTGTATTCTACCAGTAGTAAACCCCTTCACGACAAAAACTAATGATTTGTTTGTGCTGGAGATGTGCCTCATGATAACCTTAGAGGTCCCTTCCAACCTAGATGATTCATATGAAGAGTTTCTGAAGTCTGTTCTTGCAAGATTTGAGCTTTCTTTTGTCTCCCACAGATTATTTATTGAATTGTATATTTATTTTGGTTTGGTGATGTACTTTAGTAATGGAGAAATTCTCCAAGGATCTCCATCAGAGTTTCTTCAAAGCCCATGTACGTAACAGAGTAATGGCTTGACTGTTCAGCCAGCTAATAAGAATTTGGTGTAAAGATAAAATGAACTTGAGCACCTTACTTTCACTTGGGGAAAAAAAAGAAAAAAAAAATGTAGAATTACTTAGGCTACTGAAGAGGTTATGAGTTTAGATGCAGAAGGAAAACTCTTTGAATTTAGTTTGATGTGTCTTTTGGCAGTAGTCCTGATTTAAACCACTCCAACCTTGGTGTTCCTTCATGTTTCTGCTGTTCCCTCATTTGGGGAGTGCACGAAGGCTGCATGATAGGCTGGAATAGGAAAGCTACCAGCATAAAAAAATACCATCCCTCTTCCCAAATGTTAATATTTTAACCCAAATCAGTTCAATTATTCAATGAGAGAGCAGGAATAGGGCTGTTTAAGTCTACACACCTACATCCCAAAAATATTTCAAAATGTGCACTTGCAGGCACAGGTTTTCCTGTGTTAAATTAGTCATTAGCCTTTGTCTCTGTCACCATTAATTTTTTAAGAGTCTCTTTCATTCTGGAAAGAAAAAGAATTTTTTGTTACAATTGCTTTTTAGTAATTTTGAGAAGTTCCAAATTATTTCTCACCACATCTGGTCAGTATCTACTTTTTTTATCATCTCAGAGCCTTCTGAAGGTGTGAGTGTATGTGGATGATAAAGGGGATTTAGATGCTTTGGGAGGCCTTTTGCTTTTCTTTTCTGTTTGCCAGTTGGAAACTTGTCCTTTCTCAATGCCCATCTTTTCCTTTGATTTGATTCATTCTGCAAAGCAGCGAAACTGCTGGGTTCAGCAGTTCCCTCATGTTATCACCTTTGCTGTAACACAGGATTTTAACCCAACTGCAGGGAGATTGGAAGAGTCTGCATGGAGAGAAAGAATGTGTTTTCCTAAAGTTTTAATAATTTCAGCAAATGGTAGGGTGAATACAGAACAGCATGGTAAATAAACTATACCTTTATTATCTCGATGTCCATTGCCATTTTGCTCCAGATACTTTTAAAATATTAAATATTTATAGGTATTTAAAAGTATTACTTTAAAATATTAATTCATGTTTCATAATTCAATTGTGCTGAAATTCAGTTCTGTCAACTTCCTACAATGCTGAATGCAACTCTCTAAAATAATGGATTTTGTTTCATACAGGAAATAAGTCTTCAGTTCAGAAACTGTATAGATGTGATGTATGTGACTACACAAGCACAACTTACGTTGGTGTACGAAATCATAGACGAATTCATAACTCAGATAAGCCATATAGGTAAGTGTCTCAATTATTGCTGACTCCATCTGCTTGGTTTACTTGTTTTAGCTAAAAAGGTTACTTAACTGCTCATACGATTTTGAAGATATTGTTAAAGAATTTCAATTACTGCAACTTTGAAGGGGCCACACTTGCTCTTTGCCTCAAACTGCATAATTAAGATTTGCTAACTTTTCCAGGATGCATCTTTCGCTCTAGCAGTCTACTGCTTGTTTTCATTTTGAAGCATTCAAATGTGGAAAGGGAAGTAATTACCTTGTAATATTGAATGTAGAGAAATGTATTATTACTATAGGCCAAACTCCTTGCACACTTAAGTTAATTTTGGATCTACTTTATTGCAAAGTGTTCTCCATTGACATATCACTGCTTTGCACATTGACTTCTACAGAGTGTGGCAAAATTCTGCCCTTTGTCTTGTCCCAGTCTCCTCATCTTTTTCACAGGTTTCAAACAATATTAACACACTCACTTAGGATAAGATTTTATAACTTTTCTACAAGAATGTTATATGGATTTATATAGAAACTTTGATATTTAAAATTACGTGTAATACTATAGCTCAGGTCCCCAGCAGAAAAATAAATCATGCATTTTTCTATTGGTTGCTGCATAAATTCCTGCAAATTCAATCTACGTTCATTCAGTGTGGATCTCTGTCCCTCTCTAGTGGCTAAAAAATAGATCTAAGTTAATAGAATTTTTGAGCTAATATAGTTCTATCTTTTTAATACAAATTCTGGAAACTCAACACCTTGAAATGCTGAGCTCAGCTAGGGACTTTCTCTTTTGGATAAACAAACCCAGAAGACATGTTGTCTTTTGATTTGTGCATTATGACAATGTCCCCTAACAGTAGCAAAAATTTGCAAAATGTTTGCTCAGAGAGAAAATGTGGAATACAAATAGATTTCTTTTTTTTCTCCTCAGAATCTTCTCTATTGCTGTTATTTATGACTTAGAGGGGTTGGAACAGCAGATACTGCAGAGTGTCTTGTACATGGTAGTTTTCTGAATTGGTGTTATCCAGCCTGTTTGATTTAGGAACCCTTGAAAATTTTCCAGTGGTGATACAGACTCCTGCATACTAAATTTAAGCCTACTGATCTGCCTTGTTTTTCAGATCTGCAGATCTGGTAGGATACTTAAGCCACAACCTGAAAACCACAAATACCAAGTATCTATGGTATTTCTCCTTCTGAAACATGCATTATTGAAGCCTTTCATAGTATCAGATGGCAACCTGCTATATTGCTGCCATTTTTATGGCTTAAAATGTATTATATTATTTACTTGACAAAAAATGCTGGAAATTAAACTGTATAGCCTCTAATTATGCACTTTGTAGATTTCATACCTTCGAGATTTTAATACTGCACAATTAGGTCCTTTCAAAAAGAAAGTGAGTAATCTCAAGTCAGGTATCCTGCAGTCTCAAACTGTTTCACACTATAGACCAGACTTAGTAAATACTGGACATTTTACCATTTCAAAAAAAGAAACAACTGAAGTCCTAACAAATATGTAGGGGCTTAGCTGAGCTTGATGGCTTCTGTTTCAGTATGTTATACAGAGGAAGCTTGTGCGGTAGTATATTGATATTTATGAATAGCACAGTACTTTGTGTAATAAATCCAGGGATCTAAACCTAAATGCAGGCTGTTTTATGTATTGTTTTTATACAAAGATATTGTGATGGAAGTAACAAAAACAAGAATTCAGACAGCACGACATGACACGCTTCTTTTAGGGCACTTGACTCTAAATGTGTTGGTCTTGTCTCTATTTCAGGTATAGTGCTCTGAAACTTAGACATTTTACTACTAAATAGATAGTTTGGCTTTTAAAATGTCATGAGAAATATGGCTGTTGCATTAAGTAGAACACACATTCTTGAGGAACAAGATTCATTTCTACATAGACTGTGTTTCCTGTAGCTCTTGCCATCCTGTTCTGCCTTTGTGTAACAGAGCTGAGCAACTTGCACAGGGCTGCATCCGTTCACATGCATCCACGTCTCCCTTGGAGTTCACAATGCTTACCAACTGCAGTAGAGGTGCACAAGGTAGACATCCAGAAAGGAACATAGTCCATATGCCTAGAAATTACTGTGATCACTTGTACATCAGTAAATATTGTTAGTCTCTAACTGTAGTCTTTCCAGATACCTTTGCTTTCTCGTAGATTTTTATTTCTGGAGTAGCGTTAGCAGTTAATTGTCAGATTAGTTTACTTCTTGTTGTCTCTTTAGATGTCGAGTATGTGACTTCGCCACCACAAATATGAATAGCTTGAAATGCCATATGAGGCGCCACCCCCAGGAGCATCAGGCAGTGCAGCTAATGGAACAGTACAAGTATGTAACAGTTCTAATTTAGCAAAAAGCTGTGATAGTAGTGATTTTGTTACATTAAGGTACAAAGCAGAGTTCAGATTCTATTCTTTTCCCTCCTAGATTTATTCTTTGTTCCAGTGACGTTTTTTGAGAGACAGAAAGAGATTTGATGTAGCATTCCCAGGTGATGTTTATGCTAATTAAACATGTCTATGACCTCCCTCTGGTACAGTATTCAGCTTTTTCTTTCCAGAATGAGGTGGTTGCCTATAAACTGCCTATTGCAAGTAGTTTCTGGACTGTGTTAATTACCAAAGCATGTCTGGAATTGTTTGGGAGCATGTGTGTGCCAGAACCATGCCAGGGGCACTTCTAACATTTAACATTATGGATTGTTAAATTCCACTACCCAGGAATGTTCTCTGGCTTTGTTTAATATCCTAGTGTAGGCAAAGCCTTTGCATATACACGTTAGAGTCCAGGCTGGCATCACACTGCCCTAGTTAAGAATTAGTATGAATAGTTATTTTGTTTAAGTGAGGCGTGTCCTTTATAGTCTTTCCATAGATGTGTTTGTTTCATATATGTATATCTATATGAGAAAGTTCACACAAATGTGTGCAATTGTTTGCTACTAATTTACAACAAAAAATAAAAACTGGGAAAGGAAAGAAAATCAGGACTATTCTGAACATTTCTTAGTGGAAGATTTAAAAGGCAATAGGAAGAATCCAAATAAAGCACATTCACATAAGGCTATCTTCTCAAGAAAATCTGTTTCTACAACTTCAAAGTCCTCCCACTGTCCCACTGCAGGTTTTTTTTCCCCAAAAATGTTCTTAGTAAGTTCTATTTGCTTTGATTTCATAGTTCATACAGTATTGCTGAGTGCTCTTAGGAATACGCAAAGATTACTGAAAATCTCACACTTTGGTCCCTATGTCTCCAAGGAAATACACTATCAAAAGCTGCAAGATAATTGTTTCCTCAGTAGATCAATTTAGGATACACTGGAACAGTAAAGTTAAATAATTCAACATAGGTCAACCATTGGGCAAATCATGCTATAGAATTAAAAGGGTTCTACTGCTAAACTCAATGGTTAAGTAATTTTGCTTCTCTGGAAATATCTTGCATATACTGTAACTATACATTATCTATATGATCATAAAGTGTAATGCATCAGGCTAAAAGCTGTTGAGTTGCTCTGTCTTTGATTTGAACTGTATGCTAAAGCAGTCAGCAGCATTTGGCTCATGATACTGTTCTCAGCAAAGTAAATCTGATTAGTAAATCACCTGAGTAAATTAATGTGCTTCAGAAAATGAGATTGTAATTAAAAGGGGATAAAAACAAACACTGAACTGTTGCTTTAACTGCTGTGTTACCAACCCACTGACCAAGCTGTGCTGGCACAGAAAAATCATATATATATTAAGACTAGTGGGATACATTGCATATAGAATGAATTAAGATTATTTTTTGATCTTCATGTTTTGCAAAAAAAAAATTGGCCTGATTTTATCTGTAAATTAACTATAAGGTCTGCCTTTTATCTTGATTTTAATGATGCCATTATTTTATTAAAGCCTTATTGGAAATATTAAGATTCTCAACCTGAGAGTGAACTTGCCTATATTTGAAAGCATCCATTTTCTTTATAAGGCTTCAAATTAAAAGGACAAGAGAAAAATAGGATAGTACATTCCAAATCAAGTAATAGAGAAAAGTGAGCTAGAAGGACATGCCTCTTGTTCCTCAGCAGGATAGAATTATCTTGCTACATAAGCAAGGTAATGTACCATGCTGTCACCTAACTTGAGAGATTTTTGCTGTACTCCACATCTTCTGCTGAGCAGAAATAGTTTCCTGTATGTGATTATTTGCAAGGCATTTAAGGACTATATCCTACTGTCATTAACAGAAGTGGTAAAGCCTTCCTGAATTGTAGTGTGCAACATGGTTTTATATAGGCCTTCTTGCGTTTCCAGGTTATATTTCTGAAAAGGTCTTAAAAATGTACAAAAACTTACTGGTATAGTAGTAATTTTAACAGACTTGTCATAGTGTAACATATCAGGATCACATTGCTTGAGCAGAAAACATCTTGCTCCAATTGAGGAATGAGATAATGAGATGCATTCCTAGCTATAATTTATTAGAACAAGGTCACCTGCCATTGATCCTGGTCTTTTCCATGTGATTTGAGAAACTGAAGACTTCCAAAGTAGCAGGTAGCAAGTAGGTTCCTCATCCAGAAGACAAGGAGCTGTGTCGTCTTTACCATGAGTGGTGGTGTTCTGCTCTGGAGTGATGTCGTGCAGTATCACTCACCTCCTTGATGAGTAATCTATCATTATCATTAGAGATGACTAATTTATCATCTTAGAAAACACTTGTTAAAAAACCTCCTCTCTGTTGTATATTCATGCATGAAAAAAGTCCTATGGGATTTGATCAGTCTTGGGTTATTTGTGTCTAAATATACACTACATCTCTACATAAATAGGATTTATTCTTCAAGGTTTTGTTCTTTATTGTATAAGACAATGTTTTACAGGGAAATAGAAAATTTAGTTTTGTGGTACCCTAGCTCAAAGTTGTCACCTGTCTCAATCTGTGAATATATTAAAAATCTTGACTGGACACTGCCCTTGGCAACCTGCTGTAGCTGGTCCTGCTTGAGCAGGTGGATTGGATGAGGTGATCTCAAGTGGTCCCTTCCAACTTCAACAATTCTGTGATCTTTAAATAAACTAATATATGCTACACCAGGAAAGACACTATTAGTTCAGTTACAATTATCAGTACTAATTACACAGCTCCTGCTTGGTTCAGAGCAACGGCAAAGAGGGCTCACTATCTGCCTGCCCGATACCTCACTGATGTACTCCATGTTTCTGCAGTCATCAGAACTATTGCATTTTTGTAGTATTTAAAAAGTTTTAGCAGGCCAAACAGGTAATATTTAATTCAGTTGTTTTAGAAGTAGGGAAAGGCAAATTTAAAAATTCTCAGACCCTAAAAATAGTCTTAAATTTCAGGATGAAACTTTGCAAACTAACTTGACCTTGTTATGAAACTGAAAAGGGGGACCAAGAAGAGGATTGACATGTTTCTGTCTGTTTACTCATCCTTTTGGAAGAGCTAATCCATTACTAAACTAATAAAATTTAACTTCTAAATGTTTCTATTTGTCCTTGTCCACTTTTCTTGCCCTAGATGTTCTCTCTGTGGATATGTATGTAGCCATCCTCCATCCCTGAAGTCCCACATGTGGAAACATGCAAGTGACCAAAATTATAACTATGAGCAAGTGAACAAGGCTATTAATGATGCAATTTCGCAAAGCAGCAGGTATGTCTGATTTACTTTCAAGCCCCATCATCTAGAATTCTCAGAGGACCCAACTCTGATCCAAAATAAAGTTCCCATCAAAAAGCAACAACTGTATGTTTTGATATTTGTTTTGTTTTTTATTACTATTTCAGGTTTCAAGGGCAGCTTCCTGACAAAACCTTATTAGAAGGCACAGATGAAAGTACAGTATCTATACTAGGAAACACAGACAACTTGGTGTCTTTCACAGAGTCTATTAACCAGACTACAACTGAAATTTCAGGTTCTGATGAAAAACCTAACTTGATGAATACCTCATGCAGTTTTGAAAAGAACTCCACTCTGCCTCATCTTGGCACAGAATACTGTGTTCTTCTCTTCTGCTGCTGCATTTGTGGTTTTGAGTCTACCAACAAAGAAAATCTGCTTGATCATATGAAAGAACATGAGGGTGAAATCATAAACATCATTCTAAATAAGGACCACAGCACAACTCAGAGCACAAACTAGGTGAAGCAGAAAGTTAAAGAGAGGGTTTCCTAGAGTGAATGTTTTATTTCTTTGCTAATTTTTTGCCTGAGACACTTGCTAAAGAGAAGAATTGTAAGCAAAACTTGATTTTCCATCCTGAGTCCTTGTTTCAGTAGGAGTATAATATTTTAACCGGGGACTGATGAATCATTTAGGAGATGAATATAAGGAGTGGGGAATAGAATGATCCATTTTAACCTGTTATATCTCTGTACAGTGCCAAGAATGTAGGATTGATTTTTTTTCTTTTATTGTCAGGCACTAGTCAGTAATAATGCATTAGTACAGTACGTTAAAACCCAAAGGTATGGAAGCTTTGTATCAATTGAAAAGCTTTTTCTTCTTCCTCCCTCCTTGTTGTTGTTCCAAGTATTTCAGCAAAGAACTTTTTTACCCTCTCTTTTTAAACTGGCAACAGACAAGATAAAAATTTTATAATATGATCTCGTAATCCCCACTGCCTGGGTTCTGGAAGGCAGGGCGAGGGGAGGTGGGTGAGGGCATGCGTGTGCTTGCACGCACACGTAGGTGTTTCATTTTTCCCCATCTATTTTTAAGACTTTACAAACTCAAAGTCATCCTTCAACAAAGACTGCTATCCTTTCCATCGATTTAAAGCAGCGGGAGCTGAGGAGCCTCGAAGCATTTTGTTAATAACTATTTGATTGGATCCTAACTAAAAAAGTGCTATCTTTTGAACTGACAGTGTATAAAAGGTCCTTTATAATAACGACCTGCTGTTTCTTAGGGGTTTTCTTGACACATTCAGAAGAGCTATTTAAAAAAGAAAAAAGCTTATCATATGTCACTTTTAATTTGTGGTGATTACTTTGCAGTATGTATGAGCAATGTTTTTTAATGAGAACATGATACTAACAGTAATTGCCACAAAGAGATGTTGATTAAACCTATGTAGATTCCTAAAGATGTAGGTGAGCACAAAGTGGAATTTTGAGAAACGCCTACATGCTTTGGAGTTCTCTGAAATCCCATTGGCTGTCTAAATTTCCCATTTGTCTGGCAGAGCTGTAAGCGTAGAAATAATTCACTGAAAGATAAAGTAATCTTCCTATAGGAAATAATTTTTTTAAAAAAGGCAAACAATATTTTAAGGAAAAGGAAATTCATTGTTTGATTGGTTTTGGTTTTGTTTGTTTTTTTACAGTTACAGCAGTTTGCAGTAGAAGACATTCATCTATGTATCAGTTTGGAATACTATTATACTGGCTAATTATCTGGCAACTTTGTTGAGGTTATTTATAAATTTGGTTACTTAAACTGTTTGAAATACATTCTTCAATCAGGTGAAGTAGTAGCAATTCCAAAGAAGCCCTTTAGCAAGCAGATTTAAACTTCCTAGTTCTGGCACATATTTCTGCTTGTAATGAATGGCAGATGCACAGAAGGATCACATGGGGATGCAGTTACCTGATTTTTAGTAGCTCATTACTTAAAAAATTACTTACTCTTAGAAAAACAGTATTTTATGATTACTGTATATATTTCTGCTAGCCGAAATAAGCTACAACTGTAAATCTAAGAAGGTGGCATATGTAGTGTACAGTCTATTGTGCTATTGCTGACCAGAAGTGGCAAACAGGAAAAGAAAACAAGTCTTGTTACAACTTTATGAAGCAGCACAAAATCTGAAGGCCAGGCTAAAGGCACTAAGTACATTTGATGATTTTTGTTTCCAAGTGATTTCCTCAATTTGACTTGTTCTTTTGGGTTAAGTATCTGTTGCTTTGTTTATAAATCAGATAGAAGAAAGTACATATTTTACTTTAAAAATTGGTCAGAATATGTCAAAGCATTTTTGTGTCAGATATATGGAATATTTTAAAGACATATGTGAAGTAAGTATACATTATTTTCCGTAAAAAGTTATTTTTCATATTGCTACAGATGGATTTTACATTTGAAAAACATGATTTATTTAAATTATTTCAAATTCAGTTAGAGATAAACTTTTAATGGGATATTCATACTGTCTTACTGACACCAGTATTTTACCCTCAATATAGAATTCATGTGAAAATAGTACATTGTCTAGAATCTCTCTCAACTTTCTCATTCAGAGATCCCATTGTTGAAAAAATTAAAGGTACAACAAGATCCACAGTAATGCTAAACTACCAGCCTCTATTCATAGAAACAGTATTTTTCCACATCGTTATTTTTGTGTAAAAGGATAGTTATTTTAAAGTTGCTCAGCTAGTGAAAGATAAAAAGGTGAAAAGCTTGCGTTTATAAGCTAAGAAGGAGATGGCAATGAACCAAGACTTAAAAAGCAAGTAACCTTGAATCAAAATTAACAATTTTGGTGTATGTGCAAGCCACACTTGCAGCATTGAGTACAATGCACCAGGACACATTATAATGGGATTATAAGCAGGATGCACCTATTCACAGTTGTTCTTTGCCATCTTGTTGCTTTTTTCTTTTTGGCCATGTATTCCTATAAAATAGTAGAAAATTAGATGCCTCTGAAACCCATTATTAGTCCTAACAAATGCTGACAAATAATTCTTTCCAATATGCAGAGAGATAATTTTTTTTTTTTAACTGTCTTCATGCTGCTTGCTGTTAGTTACCCACTCACAATTCCCAGGGACTTTTATCAGAAGTTCTGCATGTGAAGTAATTACAGGCTTAGTTTTTCTGAAAGCAAATTATTCCTCAGGTTATCTGCTTTAGAAAGCATATGGTTGGCTTGGTTGCATGTTATGCAAGGGGTTTTAAGCACATCTCAAAGTCACTGACACTGCAGTCTTCCCCTTTCTTTAAGCTTTTACAATATTTTCAGATCATCTGTTACAGCACTATCAGATGATCAGCTATTCACTTGCTGTTTGTTTAAATTGGGTTTTATTCTGTAATATGAACAGTAACTTGCAGCTTCGTTTTAAATGCCTATACTTCTACTAAAGAGAAACTTTGTTCATGCTAGACTATACTGCTAAATAGGTGCATATTTCATCTTTCCGATTTACGCTTGGCCTGGAAAAATAGAGTGGGGTTCAGTCAGAGTTATTGTATTTTCCTCTTTCAGAAGCACTTATTTAATCATTTTAAAAAAAAATGTACAGTTGGTGCTCAAAGTAACATTTGTTAAGATATATTTAATAGAAATTTACATTTGCATTTGATATTCATGGACATGGGTACATGTATTTTTTTAAGAAAAGGTATTGTAACACTATGGCACTGCTTTTATAGCCAAAGTATAAAAAAAATTTAGAAAACTGACATGTAAAGACTGCAGTTAATTCTGATACTGTATCTTATGAAATAGGATGACTTTCATTTTATAAAATTATCCAGCACATTAAGCTGCATGCCTTAAGCTCTCTCTAGGATTGTGTTCCTGATAGACGACTGTTTGGAACTATGAAGCAAAGTCTGTAGTAGTACTTTAACTACCTTCTGAAATACTGTACAATGTTAGAATAATTTATTTTGCTTTACAGGAGTTTGTCACGTACTGACTTTAATATTGTATTTTGGTAATAAACTTTTTTTGTTAAACACTTTAGTCACTTTTATTTGACCTATATGAAATATGGATATGGAAAATGCAAACACCAAACCAGTGTTTAGAGAGATGGGAATCTGTTTAAATCAAAAAGTATTTGAAATACTTTACTGCCATTTCTCACTCTTGTGTCAAGTTATTACAGTTTTAATACAAGTTTTATAAAATAACTGCAGTGAAAAAATATGAGACTATTAAGCCTGCATGCAGTTATGATGGGACAATGTTGAAGGACAAAACGGCACTTCCAAAATTCATAATGAAGACAGTGGCAATTTTTTCCCTAATTTAAATGGAATGAAAGCCTTACGCAGCTTTTTTCAGGTAAATGATTGACTCTTGCTGATCGATCCCATAAGCTAAAACGTATCTTGCAACCTAATTTTAAATATACTGCATGTTTCTTGACCTTGATGGAGCTTTTCTTCCCATCTTTTAAAAATAAAATTAAAAAACCCAACAAAAAAACCAAGTCTAACTCAGTTGCTGGCCAAGGAAAAATAAAAAATAAAAAAAGCACTGCTAGAGTACCTATTACTGGTATTATGTTTACATACTGGTTTATGTTTACATAAACAGGCTATCTTCTTTCATGTTATTATTATAGTCTTGGGCCAAATACATTGAAGTAAAAGAAACTGGCACTACATATGGGTTTAGATGCAATGCTACAGGATGCTGGGTCGTGCAGCTTTTTCCTATTTTCCCTAATGCAAAACTTGGGAAAAAAAAAAAAAAAAAGAGTCATTGTAGTAGGATGTGGCATGCAGGTATTATCTTATTCACTGGGCTAAAATACCTGGCTTCTCAGAGGAATCTCATCAGAAGTTCCTTCTCCCCCATAAATAACCTGGTTATGCTTGATCCAGCCAGTATCCCAGGACACCTTATCTGCCGTGAAGCGTGTGTCATATCAGACACCTCTCCTCCTGGCTCGTGCTGGAGCAGGGCTGCTGCCCACAGAAGGGACACCCTGCCTGGAAATGAACTGTGCAGCTCCTCCAGAAATGGGACTGGACTTGGGACAGAGCCGCGCTGACCAGGCGTTTGACGACTAACACTCCCAGGAATTAGGAGGAATTGGGGTAGGGCCCTGCCACCACACACCAGTGGGATTCAAATAGCTCTCTCCTGTATCTTTGCCAAGTATTTACAGTTAGAATTCTTGCAGGAGAGTGAACGCACCATGTTACTCTTTTTTATTTTGCAGTCCCTTCTCGGCGTATTCAGAAAAGAGCTGTCACACACAGCCACTCCAAGTGAAACACCATTAATCCTGACTTACTATTAGCTAGGTAACAAAAGTAAGAATTGTTAAAACTGAGATGCTTTTGCCCAAAAGCAAAACTTCAGACACCTGACAAGCTTCAAAAGTTGGAAAAAAGAGATAAGCTAGAAGTCTGACACGCAGCACATCACATGGCTGCTGAACAGCAACTAAAAAGAGTGCAGGTTTAGAATCAACATTTACTGGTTTCTAGTTCACAGTAGCCCTTTCTACAACATGTGACAATCCAAGAGAAAACATAAATGTAAATAGTATAAAGAAATTTAAAGTTCCATTCAAACATTTCCTGTACACTATGGTTTATAGATGTTTGACTAACATTTGTTTGGATTATGGGTAACTTGGTGCTAATACTAAGACTGCTACCACAGGATGGAGTTGGAACAAAATGAGCAACAAGAATATTGATAAATAATACCCTTTGGCTGCTTTGGCAAGTATAAAGCCAGAGTTATAGTATTATAGTAATGGAGTATTACTGATTGCTTGTTACAGTTTGATGTATTTTAATTTACATTTTATAATACAATTTTCAGAGATTAGTATCAATCTAAGAGTTCTTCAGTTTTTCTGTATACTCAGAACATTACATCTCATTATCAATGACATGCTGCTGAACTAATGCATTTTTTAAGTGTGAATACATGGAATAATCTCTCAGGTGTAGCTCCCTCACGATACAGAATTTTTGTTTTTTACACTACTATTGCTATACAGAATTTTTGTTTTTTACACTACTATTACACTACTAGTCCCTGGCAAAAAGAGGTAGTAAAGAATGCTGTAGTGTGATACTTTCCAGCTATTAATGTACTTCAGGTGTCATCCCTAGCATTTTAGGCAGAACAGCATCAGATTCACCTGTTCTACGCATTTCCAGACAGATTGAGTAAGAGAAAAACATTCTGTTTGTTCTAAAAAATACTTACAAAACATTCTAAGTGTGCAAAAAAAGATACTGAAAAGTTTCCTCATTTCTAATGTCAATGGCTTCAAAGCTCTGAATTACCAGGATGATCACGAGTTACACTGTTTGCTTGGCATCCCTGAGCCTGCTTTCTATGTATTTCATGCCCCTTTTTGCTCAAAATACCGACTTTGCCAACGAACCAAGGTTGTGGAATGAAAAATAAAATTAAAAAAACCCTAAGTATTGCTGGACTGTAAAATGGCAATTGAAAATTAACTGAATATTGTCCTGAAGAACTAAACTCTATCCATACCTATTCCACTGAATTTGTATGGATTATTGGGAAATTTGCTTTCTGTGACAGGATGTGGGACTCATCACGCTCGGCAATTGAAAATTAACTGAATATTGTCCTGAAGAACTAAACTCTATCCATACCTATTCCACTGAATTTGTATGGATTATTGGGAAATTTGCTTTCTGTGACAGGATGTGGGACTCATCACGCTCGTAAAAGCTTTATGGGGAATTTTTTTTCCTACAATAACTGTCCTTAAAGACACTGCAAACACAAATTACAATAAAGAATTATCGTAGGGGTTGGTTGTACTCGTTAGGTAGAAAAAAAAAGTCTGGTGTTGCCGTTATCTTTCTGCTACAGAGTTAAAAGGTCTTTTTCCCCCTTGCATGTTTATGCTGCAATTGACCAACAAATACAATGGAGCTTATAATGAACTTTATACAAAATACACCTCTACTGCTTCGGTTTTTAAGTTATATTCAACAACCACTTCACATATACCTGGAAATACATACCGGGGGGGCGGGGAGAAGCACCACTAAAAATAAATTCAAGCCACTATTTAAAAAAAAAAAAAAGCCTCCACTGCCGTTTAAGCCCAGCACGAACCGTGGCACCGGCTACTCCCCCCTCCCCGGGCAGGCTCATTTAAACTTATTAAAACCCTTTCGGAGTGAGACGATCGTCCCCACCTCAGACAACCTCCTCCCCACCGTACTTTCTCTTCCCCCAGAGCCCGAAAGCAACCGGGGAAGCCGAAACCGCCCCGCGGAGGAAGGTGCCGCCCCAGCCGCCGCCCGGCCCCGGCCCCTCCGCCCGCCCACTCCCCACAGACCGCAGCTCCTCCCCGGCCGGGCCTCCCCGTTCCGCCGCCGGCTGCCTGTCCGCCCGCCCGCCGCCGCCGCTCCCCTGCCCGCCGCCGCCCCTCCGCTCTGCCTGACAGGGGCGAACAAAAGGCGCCGCGTCCCCCCCGCCACCCGCCGCACCCCGGCTCTCGGGGCGGTTCCGCGCAGCCAGCACCGGTAAGAGAAGCCAGCGCCCCGCCGCAGCGCCCCACGGCCCTCGGAGCTCCGGCAGGTACCGACCCACCCCGGGGGGAAGCGGAGGGGAAGGGGAGGAGACGGGCGACCGGCGGAGCCGCCGCCGAGCAGGCCGCGCCGCGCTGTGCGGAGCTGCCCGCGCCCCGGCCGCCGGGGGAGCCGCAGCCCCAGGCCCGGCCTTTCTGCTTCTCCTTCCCGCACTTCCCCAGCCCCCGGGGCCACTTCCCCTTTCCCCGGCCGCCCTTTCGCCGCCACCGACGGCCTCGCTCCGGGCGCCCCATCGCGACCTCCCGCCCCCGGCCTTCAGCTCCAGGGCCCGCCCCGCCCCGCCGCCCCGGGCCTCGCCTCACCTCAGACAGCTGCGGGGACGGAGGCGGGACGTTCCTCCCGGCGCTCTGTCGAGGTTTTCCCCGCCTGTGCTGGGCCAAAACCCTTCCCTCCGGCATAGGGCATCGAGGAAAGCTGGCTGAGACCGGCAGGGCAAGGAAGGAGGGTACTTATGATGACCATCTTGCCTGAATTAGTTAATTATCAGCTTTCCTACAAAACACCTGTTTACAAACAACCAGGGTATGTGCTCATGTACCTCCCTCCATGCGTTTTGCCAGGCCTGAAGGAAAGAGGTGAAGCTAATCCACTGCAAAAGCTTTAAAACAGCACAGTTGTGCAGTGGAGGTGTGTTTCTCAGAGCGGTACCATTACCGGTCAGTTGCAGCAGTGGTAACACAAACACCAGCGTTTGTGCTCTGAGAATGGTAGCAGTTTTTTGCATTCATTATGGGACACCATTGATTTTGTCAAATGTCAAATGGCAGGTGGGAGCAGTTTTATGTGTGGACCATGCTCACAGAGCAGAGAGTGCCTGCGAGTTGCCAGGGGAAGGACTGGTGGCTCTTCTCTGGCATCGTTTTTACATCTTAGGGCCCCCCTTTTTCTGGATGTCTTGAAAGCCAAGATTTAAACAACTGGCTTTCTATCTTAGGTGCCCAACTAAAATACCCTAAAAGGACCGGTTTTTCTTTGAAGGGCTTTCTCGTTTTCAAAAAGTGGAGCCTGGTGTGCATTTTGAGTCAAGGGCCAAAGGTGAGGCCTGTCAAAATAATGAATCGTTTTGAAAACCCCTTCAAGAGTATGTAAAATTGTGAACTTAAGTCTTTAAAAATTTAAGATAATTTGTAGATTTATGCTGCTACACATTCATTTGCACTGAGTTCTACAGATTTTAAAAAATCTTGCATTTTTTCAACTACAGTTTGGTTCTGTAAGTCAAAGTCCCTGATGGCAGTAAAGTATGATTCTGTTCTCAAATATTTTACAGAGTATTAAGTGAATGTTTGGGTAGGAAGATGCATTGCTTGTGTGTGTCCATTTAGGTGTCAGCCTGAAGAATAATGAATTAAAGTGACTGACACGATGACAACCATAAGACAGAGAAGGGTTGGAAAAGGCACAGAAGCGGCTGAAGATCAGCCTGCAGAGGAGAAGAATGGGAAGCCCGATGGGAAAATTCTGTCTGGTGGGTAGTGAAAAGGATTGTAACTTCATGGCTTTTTTAGTAGCATTTAGCTTTTGGTATCTGTCTTATGAACCGGTTAGAACTAAGTATATACCAAATAAATTTTCACACTTGAATACCTATCACCAAAATTCATTGGATGAGCCAAAGAGCATGCAGATGACTGCATGGCAATCTCTTCTCTAGTTTAAAATCCTAATTTAAGTTGGTGAGAACAGTGTTTGTCAATTTATTATCAGTGACACACTCAGATTTTATGTAGCCATTCTAGATTCTTAAACAAATCCCAGTTCAAATCATTGGTAACATAAAAAGATTTAAAGACTTCCAGTGAGTTATACTTAAATATAAGCAGATTGTGTATGAAATCTGAATGTAACTACAAACCCTTGCTTTTTACGGTAGGACAGACTGGCTAGGTAAATCTAAAAGAGAGGCATTAAGTGTCTTAATTGGAGGATCTGTTTAAGTAATGAAATACTGATGACATTTTTGTTTGGAATTATAACTTTAAAGTTGGCAAAGTTTGTCGGTTTGGGATTTTTTTAATTAACTTATTTTAAGGGATGTTTTGATCTAAATTCCAAATGTTTCTACATATGCAGTTAGGGTAGATGAAAGGAAACTTACATTGTTGTTTCCAGACAAGTACACTTAGGATATACACAAAACGTGAAAGTGATCATAGTTCTCATCCAGCCCAGCCCTCAGTTCAGTTGAGTTGCATATTTGGTACTCATTATGTAGATGTCACACACTGTATGAACAAATATATCTAATTCCAGATCACTAGAATTTATATTAAGCCTTATATCAACATTTAAAAAAAAAAAAAAAGAAACCAACCCTAAAAAAGCCAGGAACATAATTGTACAGTAAATTGCTTAAGCTACCTAGAAACGCAGCCTTTCTTCCCCAGCGTTCCATCTATAATCTTGTTCTGGTGTCAACAGGAGGCCATCTGCAATTCAGAGCGTGACACCATTATCAAAGGCTGCTTTGGCCGCTGTTCAGTCTCTTTGTGGGTATTCAGTGAGACTTCTGAACTTTCAGTGTTGTTTTTTACAAAAAACAAGCAAACCCCAGAAAAACAGGCAGCCATTTTAAGATTTGTGAAGAAGATTTTAATTTCTTGCTTTGTGATCTAACAGTCATCCTGTATTGCCTTAATTAAAAAAGTTAGCCTGGAGGATATTTCAATTTAGGTTTAGCAATTAGGTACAGTATTTATCTAGATTTGTATAGGATCATGGTATTCTTAAACTGTACCTAGATTTTGCTAATTAAAGCACACCTTATTTCACTTCGCATGTAAATAAAATACTCTGAGTTTGCAATATGAGAAAGTAAAAAACAGATCTACATAAAGACGTTTTAAAACCAAGTATCCTATAACCGACAGAATATAAACTGCAGTAGCACAGGCAGTGTATAAATGTGTTTCAGTTCCTTTAAGTTGAATTATATGTTTCACAATTACAGAGTGAAATATTTTTCTTCCAAGATCATACAGGTGGAAAGCTGTGGAACATTCTCTCAGTAACTGTTGGTGGAATTGTTGCCATCTCTCTTGGACTTCTTACTTCTGTTTATGTTGCTACACTGCATGAAAATGACCTGTGGTTTTCCAATATTAAGGTAACAGTCATTTTCATAGTTTCATCAGTGCTTTCATAGAGCATTAATATGAATGTAAGTTAAAAATTCATTTATTCATGTATTTGACATGTAATTTGCTTAAAAACAGAGAATATTTCATTTTTTAAAATGTAATTAAAAAAAAACCCTGTACTTCCCTTCCCACCACTTCTTAAATACTTGATCATTTCTATAAATACCTTTCCCCGTTTTTTCTTAAAACCACTGCTACACAGCTCCTGCCTGAGTTGCTGTGGTTCTTCCAACCATTGATCATTATCTAGAATAGAATTTCAGAAATCTACTATATATTACTCTATAATTATCTTCCTTTTATCCAAAGCAATCCAGAAGCAAACGAAGAACAGTTAACGTGTAAAATCCTGTCACACAGTTCTTTAATTATATTTATATTGTAATATTACAATACAGTTTAGGCACAGCCTCTTACAATTCAGTACATATTTTATATAATGTTATCCTAAATATGCAAACCTCAAAACGTATTTCAGACATTCACTAATGTAAAACCAACCATTCCCAAGACTAGTTTTTTCCTAGAATCACTGCATGGGGAAATAATACAGCTGTACACTAATTATATTTATACTGTAATATTATAATACAGTTTAGGCACAGTCTCTTACAATTCAGTACATATTTTATATAATGTTATCCTAAATATGCAAACCTCAAAACGTATTTCAGACATTCACCAATGTAAAACCAACCATTCCCAAGACCCAGAACTGACTAGTTTTTTTCCTAGAATCATTGCATGGGGAAATAATACAGCTGTACAAATATCTAAATTTAACCAGAGAAAAGAAACAGGTGAGTCATTTTCCTTTTAGATGCCTAAAAGTCACTCAGTCACAGTTAGGTCTATGTATTACATTATTCAAAGAGTATGTATATTTAATTGGAATACCTGCATTACAATATGTCTTTCCTATACTACACACTTTTTCTGTCCCAGAAAAATTTAAATTCCTGTAATGAAAATGGTTGGCACGTACTGAAACAATTGCTGTTATAATAGACAATGTATATTTAATTGGAATACCTGCATTACAGTATGTCTTTCCTATACGACACACTTTTTCTGTCCCAGAAAAAATTATATTCCTGTAATGAAAATGGTTGGCACTTACTGAAACAATTGCTGTTGTAATAGACGTATAATACTGGTTTGTACCCTTTCTCATCTGTCTTTGAATGCATAGGTAAATTGTATATATAGTGGGGTTTGTCTTTTCATTCCAAAAGCAAGTATTGATTAATTTCACAGACATTGTATATTTTGAAGAACAAAGCAGGCATGGATTTGTGGCAATGCGTGAACATAACAGATGCAGCATTTTCATTCTGTTGAATTGATATAGAGGGATCACAAAGTACACTGAGAGAAGCAAGTCTGTAGTCACAATTAAGCTCCCTCCCAATGGATGAAATGCTCATTTTATTTGGTAATTCTTGCTTTCATTTTAAGTACACATAGAAAAGAAAATGAATTTTAAATAAATAATTTCTAAATCAGTTATATTTCCCTACATTTTAAATTAGTAACTTGGGTCACTTTGAATTGGCTGTAGACAGTGCAAATTTAGAAATGTAATGTTATTGAACTCTGATACATAAAAATTATGTAACAACATATTATCCCCTGAACTTTTTTCCTTTCTTCCAATAAGCTACATTTAGTCAGATGGTAAGAATTCTTACACAAAAGAGTAGGTGTGGCTACTAAATTAATATAGTGAGACGTAATGGGAGACTGGTTTTGTCATTTTTTTCTTTTACGTGAAGGTACTCCTCTCTTAGTACATCAGTAGAAGGAGGTCTGCAGTGTTTATGACACTTTTGCACTAAACTAGACAGGTTTTTAGATACACCACTTAGGAGTGTTTGTTCTGAAGACCCTGTTGATGTATGCACATCATGATTACGTAGTTACAAAATTGTGCAGTTTGCCAGTTGTATTCAACCCTAAAAATTGAAAGTAAAAGGAGTTCATTGTACAAAGTCATGATTCTTAACTTCTAAGTAATTGAAGTCACACCTTGCACGTACACTTGTAGTGATTACCTCTCTCAGTAATTTCAGTTGCAGTTCATAGAAAGCCAGTTGAGTTAGGGGTGTCTCCCAGCAGTGGTTCACCCAACTAGAAAAATTGTTCTGTGGTTGTCACATGGTTTTGTTCTATTTTGAATATGGCTTTCAGCAGTGCATTCATTTCAGCTGCTGCGGTATGTGTGAATCTTGTTCTTATTTGCTAGTAAATACGCTTGCTATTATAAATTTGCCGTGGTCATTGGAGAAAGATGTAAAATTATTTTTTTAAAAACTGACAATGCGAATTTTGAAGAGTGGTTTATGCTAAGAAAGAGGTACATGATTGATATTCTTTTTTTTTATTCTCCTGAAAGAACAGCCAAAAAAAAAAATGACAATGCAGAATATTCTGTTACATAGTCAAAAACTGTGTTTGTGTACACTTGCAGCAGGGGTTGCAGAAGGTTATAATCACTTATCTTGACCAGACAATTTTGAAGAAAAAAATTCAAATCTCTTCATACAAACATTAAATCAACAAAGATTTCTGTTTATGATGGTGAAAGCCAAAACAGATTTCTTATCCAAAAATCCTTTCTCAGTTTTCTGAAAACTCTCTGGCACTACACATATGAAATGGCTAGTCTATTTTCAGTAATTTCCGATAGCAGTTTAGTGACTGTTCCTCAAGTATAGCATCTTTTGGGAACAGGATCTACCATGAAAATAACAAAAATGCAGAGAGGCAGGGGGAGAATTGTATCATGTCTCCTGTCAGATGTGGTATTGCTTTTTCAAATGCAAATGCTGAAGAAACTTTGGACAGGAGTAAGCCAAGGCCACATAACAAATTAGTACAGTAACACAAACAGGTAAACTTCAGAGCTCTCGTTTGGTCTTCATCCCTTCCCAGTAAGCATTTAGACTTATTATTGAATTTTCCTTCAATAAAATTGCTGCTTGCAAGAAGTCAAAAATTAAAATACCAAATTTTAAATCTTTTAGATGTGCAGGATAAGAATCCTGGGATTCCTTCTATTTTCCCTTTTTACATTTTGAATATAAAAGAAAGATGAAAGAACGTGGGGGAACAGGTCGCCAGCTAATTGGAACTCTACCAAACAACCACGTAAACCATAAAGAGGAGAGCAGACCAGGACTCTGGTGGTGCTTTTCCAAAGAAGTACCTGTTGAGTGGTTATGGGTACTTTTACTCTGGATGAAAAGTCTGATCTGAGTAGGAACCCTGCCATCCTCACAGATGGGCCCGAGGGTACCAGCCAAGAGTCTGTGTGCGGGGATTAAATACGTTTGGTGAAGGCTTGATTCTCAACCACCAACACTGACAGCAGCTGCCTCTCTTGAGTTGCCACTTCTATAGTCGAGTTGATTTTCAAGTCTTTCTGATCTTAAATTGAACAACTGAAAAATACTTTTACACACAATTGCACAAATTGTACTTTAGCTTTGTCAAAAAAGGAACAACTGAAAAATACTTTTACACACAATTACACAAATTGTGCTTTAGCTTTGTCAAAAAAAAGTAATTGGAACTTTGCTTATGCTCTTTATTTATAGAAAAACTCAACTCGGACTTTGCTTGCTGAGTATTCTGAATGACTTAGTTAAGGAGCTTGAGGAAACGTATGCTCTAGAGTTTTGCACTGCCCTTGGGAGGAAAAGTCCTTTGTATTTTGTTTTGAATGCTTAATGTTATTAGGATACAATTACATAAATTAAAATCATATGCAACTTTATATGTATCCTGGAGGATAGTGGAGTTTTTTCCTTCTAACAGTGGTGACTTCCGTGTTACAACACTCACAAACTGAATATACAGAAAGAAAAACATGTGCTCTTGTGATGCTTACCCGTAAGTCTGTCTGGTTTTATTGACATGGAATCCTAGGAAAAGTATAAATTGCTGTAGAACTGGAAAAGTATTGTGAGTGAATAAAACAGATGTTATCTTAGCATGAAACAGATGTAAAACTCGCTAGTGTTTGTCTCATAAAGTATAGCATTTGGTTGAATACAGCTGGTGCCAGGATTACAAATTAATCATGTTTGAATGCATTTTTGCTAATTAGATCCCCCTCTGTGACTACTCTCTCCCCCTTAATAAATTCCAAATGTTAACATTACCCCTTTTTTTTTTTTTTTTTTTTTTTTTTTTTATGATCTCTTAGAATCAGCTACTTTTTTGGTATTAGAAAACTTTTCAGTAGTGACAAATTTGAAACTGAAGCTTGTTTGAAATCCAGCATTCTCATTTTGCTAAGTGTGTGGCTTTTAGTATTTAGTGCCAATGTCAGTTTCTTCTGCTGGTGTTATAATGATTTGTGTGTTGTAGAGCAGCTGGAGAGTTTCATTGTGAACTTACATTGAATCAGATGTGTTTTTATCTGTTGATTTTTCTCAGACCAGAACTAATACCAGTTTAGTTTCTCAACAATTGACTTCAATAAAACACATGTTTTGAGATAGGATTCTATACTGGGCAGTAGAGGAGGGAAGAACATTTATTTTTTTTAATCTAGCTTTATGTTAGCTCTGAAATAGTATTGATTCTGTTCCAGCAAAGGAGATGGGACTCTTCATTTAAGAAAAATGAAGGTCTTGGGATTCTATGCAAGTTTGCATTAACCAGAATGGCATTCGTAAAAATCTCAGAAAACAGTAACATTCTGTTATTTCCATAATGTTCTTTTGTAAAGAAAGCTGAATTAATAAGATTATCTTGAGAAATATCACTTACATTTCATAATTATTTCTACACCATGTGTAGAAATTGTATGGGTTTTCAAATCTGGACATAAACCTTTTCTAACTTACTGCTAATCAGAGATACATAAAAACATCCCAGCAAGCAAACTACTAAAAGAATCACTAATAATAAACCAATTTTGTATAAAATGCCTATTATTTCTCTTCAGATTGATTGAGTTAACAAAAGGAGGTGTATTCCAAAGCAAAGGTCCTTCACTGAGAGGAGTTTTCTATCTCACTAGACTCCACCTGCTGTAGTATCAGCCAGGAAAGAGGTATAGCTCGAAGTGTACCTAGTTTAAATAATTGGAACATTTTAAAATTAAAAATAGTATCTTTACCTGCTCCTAAAAACAAGTAAACAATCCCTTTTCCTTTAACCTATAATTTGAGAGCAATGAGCAGCTGGCTTCCTGCAAGAAGCAGCATTTAACAAGTGGGCAGCAGCGTACCCTGCCAGCTGAAATCTCAGGGTGGCAATATGGTGTGGTCCCAAGTATAGCACACTGCGTTAATCCAGCCTGAAGGTGGCAAAGCCGTGGAACACTATGGGATATCTGCATCTGGAAGAAAAGGTTAAACGCATGGAGCAAGCGTAGGCAGTTTGGAAGTCCAGCTGTTGGCCACTGCAGCTGTCTAAACATTGCCTGTTACAAAAAATAGTAAAAGATCCAAAATGTTTCCAGTATCAGAATCACAAAAGGCATACGCATTTCCCCAGTTAACAGAGGCATCGGCCCCTCAGATGTTTGCCTCTCAACCTAATTTTTCGGTGTATTTTACCTTTGTTTGAACTAAGTTGCACAGAATGCACGTACCCAAAGACTCGAGCCACTCCGCAGGTCAATTTCCCTGGTGAGGCAAGAATTTGAGTTGAAGGCAGCTTTGTGTGATTGTGAAAAGCAAACGGAAAGTTAATTTACTATTGAACTTTCACTTGCAGGAAGTCGAAAGAGAAATTTCATTCAGAACAGAATGTGGACTTTATTATTCCTACTACAAAGAGATGATTCAGGCTGCTTCTATCCAGCAAGGTATTGTAAACTGTACAGTAAGTTTTACTTCGTGTTGCCAGCTGACTATTTTTAGTATTTTTTAAATATATTTGAGAACAAGGAATATCACAACTGTGAAAGACAGTGTAACTATGGTACTGGAGACAGATTTATTCTGTTCATTTGCCAGGGAGCCACTTATTGATGGACAAAGTAAATTTCAGAGTGATGCCTTGTTTTCTGTGCCAGACCTTCATGTTCTGATGAAGGCAGTCACTTTGAGGGACAGCTTTCCTATTTTCCTATCTAAGGTTTCAGCCTTGCTGGTTTATTTAGTATCTTACTTTCATTTTTATCCTTCTCTTGTTTAATTTGAATGGTGAGCTTTGTGGGAAGGGGCAGTTTTTTTGCTGTATACCTGGACAGTAAGTAACACAATGAACAGCTTCCATAGAAACCATATACAATGATGGGGTTTTCTGTGTCAGTCTCATGTTTTCTAGATACTTAACTGTTGCTCCCTAGCAATTTTGCTTATACTACACATTTGCCAATATTAACATCACCTGTGTTCACATGAGTGACAAGAGTGGTTCTCAAGATCCAGTCTGTACCACAGATTCTATGCTAGGAATGTAAGTGTCAAAATAAATGTTTCATACATCACTAAATATATAGTATTTGAATTAGCACTCTGAGCCCCATTTGAAGCAGGGTAACTGAAGACCTCAGAAGGTCATGTTGATTCAGAGGTAACATCACCTGAATCCTTGATTAAAGTTTGCAGTTTTTGATGAGAGATCCTAAAATACCTTTGAAAAAGTTATTCACTGTTCAAATGAAGATGGAGGGGGAAAATGACAATCTCCTATTTCAATTTCTCTTTATCGTTAAGGTTTACATGGTTTAGTATATGACAATAAAACTGAATCTGTGAGGACAATTAACATACTTGAAAGAATGAATGTTTACCAGGAGGTGTTTCTCAGCATTCTGTATAGGATTCTTCCAATTCAGGTAGGCATTTATTTATGGCTTTAGATTGTAACTGCATTATGAAGATTGCGCAGTGAATCATAGCTCCCCTTTTTAGTTATTTTTTAATTAGAAATATTCCTGATACCTTTTTAATCTGTAAAAGCAAAATTTAATTCATATTAAGTATATTTCCCTCCCAGGAGTGTTTTATGTCAACATCAGTATTCTTATGTTTTACAGCAATACCTAGAGCCCGTTTATTTTTATATCTACACTTTGTTTGGACTTCAGGCAGTTTATGTCATTGCTCTGTATGTAACAAGCTGGCTTCTTAGTGGAACGTGGCTTTCAGGGTTGTTGGCAGCTTGCTGGTATATTACAAACAGGTAAGTGAGATTAAACACACACTCTTTCTAAAATTGTACCTCATGTCAAAGGTAAGGCATTAAACCTTAAAATGCATGATTAATTCAACAAAAAATGAAACTGTAAGGCCTCTGCAGATTAGCGAGAAAATGGAAAAAAAAAAGTTAAAAAATCCAAAACAATTAGAAAATAATCAGAAAAGAGCTGACATTCCAGACTGGGATTTAAAAGTTTCAAGAAGTTTGAATAGAAAATTTTGGCTTAAATTGATCTCTGGAAGTGGACATCTTTCAGGTGCATCTGGATCTCCAGATGCTGTACCCTGTCTTCTCCAGCCTAGGATCCCTTACTGTTAAAGACACCTGCATATACACCCTTCAGGTCTCTCCCCACTGCCCCACACTCAGCCTCCAGGGATTCCTTCAACAACCTAAGATTATCAGAAGTTTAGCTTCCCTTATTCCTGTAGACCTCTCCTGCACTAAGACTCAGAGAAAAAAAGGTGGTAATTGAGCTGTTCTAGTGCTTTATCAGTTGAAGAATTCTCAATTTGGAGAGAGAAAGAGAAAAATTAAAGAACTGGCTTTAGGCCAGCAGTAATCTGCTGGCGTGAAGCTAAGACTGGTGACATAGGCTGTTATCTGTAACTTAATCAAGAACATAAAAGTACAGTGATCAGTTGTATCAGAACTGTTTGATATGTTAATCAGCAGCTGTAAAGAAGTTTCTCTGCAAACATATCTGTTACAGAGTAATTATAGGTATGTAGTGGTAAAATTTTTCTTTCTCCTAAGATGAATGTAATTAAAAAATACATGCAATGTGCAGTAGTTCACATGTATATTTCATGAGGTCATCTTTTCCATTTACAGAATATTTGGAGTAGATTTGTTTTATCCATCTTTATAATAATTCATGAACAGTGAAAGCTTGTTATCCTTTATGCAGGTAGAATAGGTACATGGAATTGATTTGGATAAATGTCCAAATGAAGTAAATCTGAGGCTACTGAGTAACTTCGTTTTAGGTTTTTCTTATCCAGCTGAGCATCACAGATATGTTGCTTAGTTTTCTTCTTAGTAAACATTTTCTCCACACAAGAAAAAAGGAATTTTTTTTTGTTTTAACTTGCAATTCAGGTTTTTTAAATGACTGCCCATTGAGAAACTCTTACTAACTTCTGTCACCTAGTTCTTATGTTAGAAAATTCAGAAGTTCCTAACCAGTATTCAGATCCAATGCACTGGGATCATAGTGAAGAAATGGATACATATTTATTCTTACATGTGCTTTTTGCAAATCAAAAATGAAGTTAAGTTACCTGTGGTGTGAAAACTCCACAGACTGAATTTGGCAGTGGTTTTGTTCGGGGGTTTGTTTATTCATTTTTAAATTATCCAAGCTCTGCTTCATAATTAAGATTTAGTTTTTTAAGAGAAGCTAAAGTCCAGTGTTTGAGGTACAGAAACAATGTTTTTTCAGAGGCAGGTGTGTTGAAGGAACTAAGAGTGTAGAGCCCCCATTTTTATCAAAAAGTAGTTCAAATACCACAAAGATGCTTCCCATTGCAACCTCTCTGTCAACAAACTGGTGTTCTATTTGTTTTAAATTTATGAAACTCCCTTTGTTTTGTACAGAGTAGATACCACAAGAGTAGAATTCACCATTCCTTTACGCGAGAACTGGGCACTGCCATTCTTTGCTGTTCAGATAGCAGCCATCACGTACCTACTCAGGACTCATTTACAGCCTGTTCAAGAAGTGAGTATTTCTGATAAGCATGACACAGTAAAATTAGTATCAGAAAACTGTCTATAGACCTTAGGACAAAATACTTAATAAGCATCTATAGCAGTGGATAAACATACACACAAATCACTTAGAATATTGAAAATATTACTCAGATGAGCTTTCTGTTAATTCAAATGTTGAAATTCCAAGGAATGCATGTGCTCAGCACTGGAAAAAAAAAAGTAAGCTCTAAAGAGTTCAAGGCAACAGTACTGAGTATTGAAGAAAACATAAGAGCCTAACACACAGTGGGCAGGAGAAAAGCTTGTAAAGCACAAGGCTTAAAGATTTTAATTTGATTTCATTTATTTTAGAAATACAGGAGGTTGTCCTGATCTGCAAGAATAAAGGCAAATCGGTGATACAATTTCTTTGACAAATGGTTCTTAAGTCATGACTCCTCAATTTGTTCAAATAACTGCTATTTATAGCATAGTAAAACACATATTGCATGTTAATCTATGGGCTGAAAGTATTTGAGATCTCACCGTTTTCTTTCAGGTGGCATTACAATGGTAAGATACAGATGTAAATACAAGAAGAGGAACTCAAAAAAAATGTTCATTATCTTCCAAGCAGTTATTGCAGTTAGAAAACTCGTATTAATGTTTTAAAAATTGATTTAAAATTAAATTAAATTAAGGTGGGTTTGGTTGGTTTTCTTGGGGTTTTTTGGTGGTTATTGGTTATTTTTTAATGAAGGAAACTATAAAAGAATAAAACTAATTCTCCTATTTCCAGAGATTGACACTTATGGCTATATTCATAGCAACGTTTCTATTTAGCCTGACTTGGCAATTTAATCAGTTTATGATGCTGATACAAGCATTGGCATTATTCATACTGGACTGCTTTGACATGCTTCCCACAGCAAAGGTAAGATCGTGTTTGGAAATAACCAAACTTTTCTATCATAAAGCTAATAATTTTGGAGGTGTTTCACTAACCAGTGGCCTGGATGCTTAAAGTAACACAGATTATACACTGTGCTTTGTGCTTTGAAGTAACGAGAGTGGATATAATGCAAGTGTAAAAATGAATAATCAAAACACCACCATTTCTAGGTTTTTTTCAGCAGATAATATTTCACTTTACGTAGTTCACTGCTATTGTTTAATTCACAATGTGTGAATTTTGTCTCAAGTATTGTGCATCCTTGTTTGAAAGTTAGGTGTAGGCATTGTGCCACAACGAGAGGGAAGGGGACAGACCGGATTGCTCAAGAGAAGCAGCTTTCTTTCATACATTAAAATTCACAACAAAATAACAACTTTGTCACTGAAGCAAGTGAGCCAAAATGAAAACAAAAAAGTGTTACTAAGAAAATAAGGGATTATTTACAGTCAATCTCAGCAAATAGAAATATACTACAGAAGATGAAAACATCTTTGAATGTAATGTCACTGTGAAATTTACGGAGATTATTTTATCCCTCATAAAGGTTACAGTACTTGAAAAAGTGAACTACTCCATAAAGTAGTTGAAAAGATTCTAACTTTTTTTAAGGAAGGCTGCAGTAGGACAAAGAGTAATTTTTGTTAGTTTCATTTTAAATTTGAAGCAGACTTGAATATTAGTGATTGTATTAACTGAAAATTAGTATGATGGCTGCATATCAAAATAAATGTGATTTATTTAACAGTTTCTAAACCCTTAATTATATCTGAAAATGTAAGATGAAGTTAGCAATTAATGTGACTAATCAGCTACCTTAAAAGCTGGCAAATTACCAGCTTCATTCTGAATTATTAATTCTGGCTTACTGCACCATTCTTATTCCATATTAATTATCCAAAAAGTACTCCTTAGAACTGTTGGAGTTTGTTGGGCCATTTGATACTGGTTTACACCTGTGAACTCGGGTCTTTGTGTCACATAGAATTTATGTTTTAGTACCACTGTATGAGAAAATTAGCTGGTTTTTAGTGTTTGTATTCAGTTGAACAGTCATAATAGCTTAGCACAGCTCAAAAAGGACTGTACTAAACTATTATTAAAAAGTTAGAGAAACCAGCTGATGTTTGATTGCTGAACTGCATTGCGCCCTAACTCTTTAGTCATAAAAATATTATAAAGGCTACAGAAACACTTCCTCAACTAAAGAAATTACAAAACATCTGCTAAATTTTAAGTATTTAATATTTTCCTCACCCTGCAGTTGTTTAACTCATCTGCTTTGTTAGAGCATCAGGCTTCTCTAGGTCTGAAATAATAACCTAACTAGTTCAGGACATAAATACAGAAAGGATATAGTAATGGCTCTAAGCATAATGATTTCATGCAAGATGATACATTTCTTGTAAAAATAATTGACGATGAAATAAATACTAAAACCTATGCAAAGAAAAACAGCAATGACTAAAGTTTTGTAGGCATAAAAATCTCATTATTGTTACAGGTTACGTGGCTCTATATTATTCAGATTTCTGGATTGCTGCTAGTGTGTGTCCTACAGTTCTTTAATTCTATGATTCTTGGATCATTGCTTTTAAGTTTTAATGCTTCTGTCTTGATAGCAAGAACAATCCAGGTAGGTACCAAAATATTTTTGTAGCTAGAGTGTGATATATATAGATAAACGAGTACTTTATATGCATTATAATCTTAAATTACTAATAGTAATTAGAGGAGTTACTATAGCATAAAGCAACAAAAACATTGCATGATCAAATAATGAATTCAATTACACTAACTACAGCATAACCAAGCAAAGCAGAAACCATAATTGTGGGATTGCTATTAGCATTTGTGATTGTGCAAGCTGCAGTTTGGATCCTGCAAAAAAATTGCATAAACGGACTTTACACCTGTTTCAGCAGGACTTGGTTTGGATTCATGGATCTGTGCAAACAAGGCACGTGTCAAATTCAGTTTACTGAAAGCTATTATTTCTTTCAAAGATTGGGATTTTTTTCCTTATATTTACAGTTTTCTTTTTTCTGATACTGGCATTGATGACAGCCTCTAAACAGAATGTATGAACTTACAGAGCCATTCCTGCTCACTCTCATTCGTGACTTTTTAAAATCAAGAGTGTGTTTTTGATAGTGAGGAAACTGCCAGATCAATATGCTGGGGAGTTTTTATGATACTGTCTCTTCAGTTTTGTGGAAGAAATATATCTTTATTCTGGATATTTGATTATGTATACATTTTTCCTTACATGAACCTAATATAAATCTGATCCTGATCAGGCTCAGCAAAGAAGCTATTTCAGGTAGTCTGGGTTGCTTTTGTTTGAAATACAAACATACCGAAATACTAATTCTTTCTTCTTTCTAGAAAAACCTAAAAAAAGGCAGCTTCCTTAATAGGCTTGGGAAACTTATCCTCCATGTACTATTAGTCTTGTGCTTGACTCTCCTAATAAATAAATTTATAAAGGTAAGCAAATAAATTTTAATATAGAAACTTAGAAAATGTATTCAGTTGAAAGCTATTTCTTAATCATGTACTGTAATATCATTAAATAAAAAATGCAATTAAATTTCATTGCATTTCAGAGACTGCATTTTAGAAATGAAAGATAATTTTGCTCATCTTTTTGGTATATAGATTTTAAAATATAGTCTTAAAACTTCATAAATCAACACCAAATAATCAAATAGGTATTCATAACTTGGAGCTCCCCTGTAGTTTTATGACAAGTGTAGGTTTATACTGCATTCTGATACTGCTGAACATTTTCAAAGTTTCTCTTTGAATGTACTTTCCAATGAATGCAGTTAAAAATGAATACTTGTTATAAAAGTGTTGTAGACCATGCCATGCTTTTATTTGCTTCTTGTGCACAGAGATACCTGCAGACATTAGTGACAGTAACACTTTCTTTGCTTGTGAGTTTTAGTCTCTTCAAAAGAGCTGTATCAACGGGTTAAAATTTAGTATGTGTGGAAATAAAAAGTATCACAGTGAGATGTGATAAGTCATTGAAATAAAAAGTACAGCTAAAACCAACTTGTCCTGCATAATCTTTATCTGTAAATAAGGAACTAATCCTAATAGATATTCTAAATAGTAAGTTGCCCTTTGGGCCACAGAACCATAATTACAAATGGAATGCTTATTTGATTGCAAAGCACCCTGTCTCATTAAGCCTGTGATGCTTTCATTTAAATGATGAAAAAACTGTTTACAGTGTGAAGCTTAATTTCTTGATACTTAAGATGCAATTTCCCTTCTTTTTCTCCCTTTATAGAAAATTCTTAATCTTGAGTCAGATGAACATATATTCAAATTCCTGAAAGCAAAATTTGGATTTGGGGCAACAAGGTATGATTTAGCTTCAATTTTACTTTTTTGTATGACTTCATTAAGTAAAGCCTGAAGGTTGTTTTCATTTAAAATCTTGGTGATAAATCATGGATTTTTACCTCATGATTATGTCTTACATTTTCTTTCATAATAATCTGCACAACTGTGGCTTTATAATTGCTTGGTTAAAAAAATAAACTTTGGTCCTTTTTGACATGAAGTTGTGAAATCCATGATGACAAGGATTATTCTTTTTCCTTTAGAGATTTTGATGCTAACCTCTATCTTTGCGAAGAAGCTTTTGGTTTACTACCATTAAATACTTTTTCAAGACTCTCGGATACATTGCTTTTTTGCATCTACATATTTGTTCTCTTCCTTATGACAGTAGCAGCTGTAATTGTTGCCTTTCGGAACCTCAGGTAAAATATGTTTTAAAAATAAGTCACATTTTTATCAATTTTTTCTTCTTCAACAGGCTAAGGAGCTGACAGTTGAATACAGCAGCATACAGTATTGCTTTCCACAGGTACTAAAGAAACAGTAGGACTTATAATAGAGAGATCAAGCAAAATAAGTAACTTGCCATTAAAGCTAAAAATGTAAAGGTTGTAACAAGATTAAACAAAGCAACATTCTTCCCTAGATTCCTTCAGGCTCCTTTGTTGGCTGTTGAAGCTTTGTGTAGGATTGTTTGGTTGGGGTTTTTTGGGGAGGGGAAGCAGGGGAAGGGTGTCTTTATAGAAAACAATGTTAATTTCTTTAGTTTATCCTATTTTCCTGTGCAGAGCACTACCAAGCAAAGATTTCCCTGGTGGTATTTTCAAACTACCCAGAATGAGCTTGGATAGTTCTGTGCTGAACTTCTGTTGTCTGTGTGAAGAAGCAGGAGTGGGAGACTACAGTTCATTGCCTGTAGCTAATCTGTAGGATTTGGGGGAATTTACAGAACAATAAAATAATATTAGTACTGAACTACTGTAAAAAAAAAAAAAATAAGTGGTTCATTGTAGACCTCTCAGTTTCGCATTTGCAACCTGGGCCGAAGTTAGATGGGATGATATAAAACTTGATTAAGCAAAAATTCAAGGAATGTCATGTAACTAATGCCGCTCGTTGTAGATTTTATGGAAAACAGACTAAAACAAGGAGAGGGAGAGGATCTAAGACATTCTGATTTTGAAAGTATGTTATAATTATGAAGTCATAGTCATCTGTAAGGTGTTTTGTTACTGTTCAACCAGCCTCTCATAAAGCTTACTGCATCCGTCAATTCTAAAACCAAACCAAAGACTCTGCAGCTCTTATTTTCTGTAATCCTAAATGTAATCTCAAACATTACCTAATTTTTAAGACTGCCCAGTTATCTCAGTTATCCCCCACCTGAAAAACCAGGAGAAAACCCCATACGTTTAAGTAGCTTTTTTTTGATCAGCCCTCCACATACACTCACAAGAACAGCCACATCAAGCAATAACCAGTTCTTTCAGCACTTCTTTTCTATAAAATTGCTTCCAATCTACAGCTTTAGTGGCATCCTTTTAGATACACCAGCACAGCCCCACAAAACACAGTTTAGTTCTTCACTGTCATCAAAAGCCCTGTGAACCCTGTGGGAGTAGCTGCTTCAAGCAATAAGTGAATCCTGCCTTTCTGTAAACATTTTATCTTATTCTAAAACAGCTCATTGAAACCCATGGCCTTTTCAGAAAACCAGACATGAAAATAAATACCCGGTGCTGCATGAAGTTGATATCAGGCTTAATTGTATTGTAGATACAGTGGAAGATTGTGGACTGATAGCAGTAGTATTGCTCTTTAGCATCAGAAGGATTAAATGCTTTGTAAAATGCAGACAACTATATGAAATATGTTACAGAGCTTAATATATCAATTTTTTTATTATTATTATTTTTTCTGTTTAATTAGTGGTTCAAATCAAGTCCAGTTCACGGAAAAAATGGAAGAATGCACAGTGACACTGAAGCCTGATGCTGCTTACAACTTAATTCACACAGTTCTTTTTGGATGTCTGGCATTAAGCACAATGAGGTATATTTTTTTTAAATTCTACTAAAGGCTTTTTTAGATGATTGAGTGTATTTTGCTAAGGGTGTAACATATGCTGACCACAAACCGACAGGATCACAAACCTTCTTCCTCTCCCTGGTGTGTTTCTGCTGGTAGAATAAGGCATTTCCCAAAATTCTGCCAAAAAGAGCATTTGAAAGTTTGGGAGCAGAGCAGCAAAAATTTATCTGTTTTCTTCCAGAATGAAGTACCTCTGGACATCCCACATGTGTGTATTTGCATCTTTTGGCCTGTGCAGCACGGAAATATGGAAACTTATCCTGAAGTGTATTCATCTCTACACATCCCAGAGGGTTAGCACTATACTTACAGCATTTAATGACTTTTTTTTGCTCTATATATAAACCAAGACTCAGAATTCTAAGATATCTGAAATTAATATTGTTTGTAGTCCTCAAACTGGATATCTCTGTATATAAACTCTGTATACATTTGTATATAAATTTAGTAAGTAAAATGTGTTTTCTAGTGGTTTATATGTTTAACAATTCCATTTGAATACACTAGGTGGCAATATAGATGTGGCTATGAAAAATAACCACAATTTCACTAAAAAAGTCTTAGTCACCATATTAAGAAATCATCAGCAGTCTCAGAAGACCTTTACAGTCTATTATAGTGAATGATACAGTGTTTTCCACTTTATAGAATGCAGATTTAAGTATATAGATAGAAATGCATCATTTGTGGTGGATCTGTAGTAAGGGTTTTACTTGGGAACAAAACCAGAATATAGTCTTAATATGTCAGATATCAATACATTAAAAATTATCTATTGAAATAAATGTATCATCAGAATAACCAATATTTTTTTTCTGATTTCTCCTAGACACATGTGATTAAGTATTCTGTAACAATAATTACATTATTATACATTTCGTATAAGGTAAGAATTTTTTTTTCTCAATGTTTTGGCATTTTTTTAGTTGCATGGAGTATTCCTTTTCTCATAAAGGGATGTTGTTTTATAAATAATTACATATAAGATTTGTAGCTGAATTTTAAAAACTGGGATAGACTGCCTGAAGTGCAAATACCTTTATGTATACAAAATTCTATGGAAAGGGTCGGTTGGGCTCACTCGATCCAAAGTAGTTGTTGGTAGATAGAAGTGTGTGTCTGACTGTGTGTGTCAGTTGCCAGGTGTAATTTACATGCATAATGCTGTGGGAATGTTAGTTGTCTGGTTTGGTTTAACTGGGGTGCAGATCAGATGCAGATTGTTAAATTGTGTAATGATTCACTGTAGGAGCAGAAATAATCATTAGGTTCTATAGTACTGTGCCTCATCTCTCATGTTTTGAAGTGCAGAATTGTTAAACTAGTCAAGTACTTACATTATCTTCAGCCTGTCCAGAAACAAATTATTATGGACAAACATGTAAACAGAAATAGATAAAATATATTTAAAATAGTAACATGTACAAGATTATTCGTCTGTCAGTCTGTCATTGCAGTGGGATTTAATGGGCATCCCATTCTTTCAATCTGTATTTACAAAGACAAAAAGTTCAGATGCTACTTTGATGGGGAAGTTATTTCTGCAGTTCCTAGTGTAAGGTGAGAGTATTTCCATTAAATAATTACCTTCAGAGAAACTCAAGGCGAATTTCATTATTAAAGTTAAAAACAGTAAAGCGTAACAGTTAAGAAAGCTGCCATAGAGTTCACTCTGGAAGTCTGTTCCCTCTTTAAAATAGTGCAATGAAAAGTCAAAAAGGACTGTAACAGTGTGTTTAGTAAAGTTACACTGATATATTCCACTCAAATTTTCTTATTATTCTGCTAGAGAACTTTTTAGGGTTTTATTTCATTGATATGCTGGTGAGGGAAGTCATTTACTGTTTTCATCATCTCTGAAAATGAGAGAAATAATGCCTTTCTTTTGGCATGGGCGATTCCAAGAGCATGACATTCTAATAGTCTAATGTGACAGATCAACTAGGAATAATTTTCCTCCCACTCTTCATGAGCAGATATGAAGTTCCTAAATCCTGTCAGATTCAATTCTGAAGTCAACAGAAGTCACTGGTTTTCATGGGCTTTAGATCAGTCATTAGTTGTGCTCAGTCTGCCTGAAAAGCCTGTTTCTTCTAAAGATAGGGAAAAAAAAATAGTATTTTTTAAAGTGCTCGGTGGGAATAAAGAAATACATCACTCCTCAGTATTTTTTTGTCTTAAGTCAGTTCTTGCAGTTCAGCTGCCAGAGGAGGGGATAATATCTTTTGTGTGTGTGTCTTCTCTTCAAAGCTGAGAGAGTCAGCGAGCCCCCCAGAAAGCAGCCCCCCGACAGGCAGGTAAAGCCTGTCACCAGATCCCCTGGCAACAGGCAGAATAAAACTCCTCACAGAATAAATACTCCTTATTCTCTCTATAAAACCTTTAGAAACAATCTGACAGTGCAAGTGGATTTCGATAACGGAGAGTGCTCGTCTTTCTCCTTCCCAGATAAGAATGTACCTGTTCATGCACAGCGACCGCTCACGTTGTGTGAGCACCTCCTGGCATATTCAGCACAAAGTTTAACTGCCATCCTGGCTGGTTTTCTTGAACTAGTAGTAGGGCAATTCTGTATTCCATTACTTGTTATGATTACGTTTGTCAGAAGAACTCTTCTTTAGTGCCATTCCTCAAAATAGGAGTTTTATGGGATTATTAACTTAATCCCGAATAAGCTAATGAAAGCCTCTTTTGAGACATGTGGTTACTACAGTCCCAAATACATCACTTGAACAGTAATTTACTGAGATGCAGATGCAGGTTCAGTGCTAGCTATCTTTCAGATTTCAGGTACAGTATATTTTGAGACCTATAAAACATGTATATTCCTATTTACACAAATTTTCTTCATTAGTGTAGTGCAAAGGTCTTTTAGATAAAGTGAAGGTGCTGAAGTATTTCCATACATACTTTAGCCGTGCTGCAGATAACACATCTCTAATGCAGTACTAAATATTACTTGTGTTTCAATTCATACTCTGTATAGATACCGTTCAGCTGCATCCATCTATTGCATTTAACTTCTAAGCAGAATAATAGCCATCAGTTTGTGTTTTGTCAGTCATTCCTAAATAAATTGTTGGTACTTAAAATTAGTTCCTGAGCTTCAGCAAGTCTGTTTTGCCAAATAACCTTGTTTTTTCTTTGCTAGTAATCTATCCATTCATATAATTTCTCAAACTGCATTTTTGTCTTCATTGTGTCCAAGTCCTTTTGCTCCAAACATAGACATTTATTGCAGCACATAGTGCAACATACATCAGTGGTCTGAGCAGTCTTTGGCTGTACTGAAGTGCTCCCTGTATGTACTGTGTGCATTTATCCTTTAAACCTAAACTTTGTAAGCTTGGCAGTTTGTAGGAGAAATGACAAAAGAAAAAGTCATGTTTATTTCTGTTCATAATTTCTAACCTTTCTCTACAGGGATTCTTAATTTTCATTCTTAGGCCAACAATAACTATAAATAATGTAGTAGTACTTGCTTTTCACTTAGACTCAGAGGCCAGAGAATTAACACTTATCTTGTTATGGGTATTGAGTTAAAAATTGTCAATGTATATCCTCAATAGATATATTTGGGGATAATACCTATTAATAAATCAAAGTACACCGAAAACCCAGAGCACACCAGACATTCAATAAGAAACATAAGCATTGTTAGACTGGATGAAATCTATGATCACGAGCCAGAGGGGTAACAAAATCCCTGTGTTGCTAATTTAAGTCAGTTGACAACAGGCTGCTTCTCCTGAAGACTTTGACCCCAGAGAGGAGCATGTTACGAGTTGCAAATCACTTTTACGTACCACTCATTATTCTGAACAGTTTGTTACACCCCTGATATTCTTTTTATCCATTCCTTGCGTCATGGTACACTTTCTCTCAATCTGACCATATACTTGATTTACAAGACAAAGTTGTTATATCAGTGTTATTGGTCCATGTTTTTGGATGCTTTGCTTTTTATTTACTTTGTTATTGTTACTCTAATGTATTTGGAACTCCTGGAGTTCCTCAGTTTTCTCTTGGCTTGACTAGTTGTAGCGTTACCTGAAAATTCCACTACCTCAGAAATCTCCTTTAAAATTCAGGAAAAGCAAGTCCTGCTACCAAAATTTCCCTACTTTTAGTAGGCTGCAGGGCAGGTTTGCAGCACCATCTAGAAGCAAAGCAGAGCCCGTTTCCTTCTGTCTCCGGTCTGAAGGACTCCAAGCCTTCAAAATGTTTAGCTATCCAGGGCAGTTTAGTAATGAAGAGAGGAAGTTTTGATTCATTATGAGACTCTGCAGTCTCATTTTACAACAGCTTAATTTATTTACTAACCTCCCAAGAGATTTTCTGAAGAGCAGAAATACATCTACTACAATCCTACTGTACTTCCCAAAATGGTAAGGTTGCGGTACCGCCGTAACTAGCTGTTAGATGTTTCTCAACCTACCAACCAGTATTACTTTAACAAATATATCAAGTAAACAGTTAAACTAATAAGTATCTTAATTGACCCAATTATACCTCCTGCTCCCCAGCCCTCCTACATAATTACAGTTTTAGTGAAAGAATGCATATTTTTGCTGAGTAGTTCAGCAGAATCACATTCAAATTCCTTCTGAACTCTTGGCTGAATATGATCTAAATTGGATGGTTTGTGGCTTTTTAGATTATCAGGCAGGTTTTCTTACACTTTTTTCCTGTGACGTTTCACTTGGAATAGGTTTCACCATAACATCCTCGTAGTAAAGACTGATGCAAAGCAATCAGTTAGTCATTAGCATTATCATTATCTCTCTTAATTACTCCCTTTTGCCATTGAATATTTACTAGCTTAAACAACAAGAAACACCCTTAAATAAATCTTTGTTCCGTTAGCTTTTCTGGGGCAGGAGGGTTAAGCTTGAATTATGTATTATTTGTCTTCAGTAAATTTTGAAATGTTTTCCCCCAAGTCTATTGTCTGTTGCTGGTCAGTCTCACTGTGGTTTTTTTCCTTCAGTGGTTCTGTTTTAATTAAAACTTCTGAAATGCCATTAACGGCCTCCACAGCACATCTAATGACTTTAACTTCTGATACAGATTTCCTACCTTTCTTCTTTTTCTTTTTTATTTAGCTGTAAATTCCTTTTTCAATGTTAATTCCTAGGGCCTTTCCTTCTCCTGTAATCACAGGCATCATTTTATGTACTGAACTTTTACATGATGCCTCTTTATCTTGTTCTTTTTCTTAAAGCTTGGGCTGTCAAGAAATAATTCAAAACATTAACATTCATCTTAAAGTCCAGGAAACCGAAATGGTTCACTTGTACAGTAGATACAATGAACAACCGTCGTATTTGGTGGCAACTTTTAGTTTCCTGTGGATTTTAAGATACAAACTGCTCTTAACTAGTAGAGTTCTGGAAACCTCCAGCGAGATGCGCATCTGAGAAAAGCAGTTCTTCTCAGGCCCACCACAGTGGATGGTTCTGTTCCTTCTGGTCACCTGGGGGGGGCTGCAGGTCTCAGACTCTGCAACTGTGTGTTCTTACTGCAATTTCAGGCACTTCTCCTTTGTAAGAAGGGTAGATATCCTTATGTCTTGAAACTTTCCCCTGAGCTGGACAAGATCAGTTACTGGCCAAGAGGAAATAATACGTTTAAACATCCATAATTTGTTTTGTTTGCTCTTTCTTCAGCCAAGAGGAAATAATATGTTTAAACATCCATAATTTGTTTTGTTTGCTCTGTCTTCAATTTCTTTTATTTCTTTTATTTTGTTTTCATTATAGTTCTGGCCAGGAATAATGGATGAACTGTCAGAGCTGAGAGAATTCTATGACCCAGACACCGTGGAGCTGATGAACTGGATTAAGTAAGAGGATTTTTTCCCTATTTTAAGTTAAATGCTATTTGTGTAGATCTAATGTTCTTAGTTATAGCGTTCTCCTTATTTGTCACAGCTCATCAGTGAACTCTGGTGACCCATGGAGGTAGTTCAGGATGGAAGGGCTATCAGGAGGTTAGCAGGGTACCAGCTGGGGGGAACAGCAATGTCCCCCAGACCGCTCAGCCCTGGGTGTCGTGCTGCTGGGTTGCATGTGTGTCAGGGAACCAGCTGACTCCATTTGCTCCCATAAGTACCCATACTTTTCCCAGCTGAAAGAGGTCAATTTGGAGGTGTCAGGCTTCTTCCATCCTATTACAGCTGCCTCTTTACATTGATTGGCCTTTGCAGTGAAATAATTTCATTTTTATTTTTCCCCCCAACCTGTGGTCTTCTCTTTTCAACTTCATAATTTACAAAATGTACACCTGTAGGGCCAGAAAACCTGTACTCTACAGTCTGTTTCTTGAACTTTAAAATAATCTAAATTGTTTATACTTATCAGAATTAAAACTAACAGGTTAAACTAAACAAAATATGTGTAATTGAACTTGCCACAGCTAAGCAAAGGTGCAGAGTCTCTTTCAGGAGTATGAGTTAATCATTCCAACCCCACCTCATCACTTCTGCTTTCTCACAGAGCACAGGAATGTATTTTTTAGGTGGAAACAGTTTAGAACAGTGCACATAGAAGATCCTGTAGGGTGTTCTCTGGAGGACTGTGAATCTAAGGGCTCTGTTCTCTAGTAACATACAGTAACAACTAAAAACTTGCAGATTAAGTTCTGAATAGAGAGATTTCTGGGACTTACTTATTTGGAACCCTGAGAAAGATTTATTGAAAAGAAATCAGGTTCATGTTCTGGAGGAAACCATTCTGAAAGTAAATCTGAATTTAACACATTTAACATTGCACTATTTGAAGTGTTTTCTTGGAGTCCTGTATTGTGTTTTCGCATGCAATGAACTTCAGTGAAACCAGTTGCCTGTTCTACCCATAGCAACACGTTTACACTCCTTAATGCTGTATTTCTTTAATCCATAAACTAGGAGGAGTAATTTAGAAGTAAAATATATTACAAGCCTTTACTGACTTATTTTGAAAGCAGGCCATGGATTTTTTCCATCATTTAGAATTTTTGCAGCCATATTGACACGTTTTTGTGACTAATGTTTACCAGCCAGTTCCATTTAGCACTACTGTTTTATTAAAAGATGGTAAATGTCTGATAGTTCAGACTGTGTACAATATATAGAGTTATATATAGATTTAGACATAAAATATGCATGTGGAGTTATTCCCAGCCATGAACTGGATTTGACTGGATCCGATAAGAATAATTTTTCATATGTTCTTAGGGCTGAGAATGCTAAACTGGTGCTTGTCCTCTTTTCATTTTAAGTCATGACAGACAATTACAGAGGGAAATTTTCTACTTAGAATGTACTGTGTTTAGAAATATTATTCCTGTAAAGAAGAGTTAATTATCTATGCTTTAAATACAAGTCAACAAAATTTATGGTAAGTTTGTCAAAGTGGGACAGATTTTCTGAAATTGATGTGTAAGAAAAATATTTTACTCTACTAATACTTGCTATTTCCGCTGTAGTTAATGATCTGTCAAGGTTCATGTCAGGAACTAATCATTCATTATTAAAACTCAGTATGAGAAGCTCTCATTTGTCATGTGTAGCAGTGAAGTAGAAATTCTCATCTGTCTTGCAATCTCTCCCCAACAAGAAAACCCTTCTTATCTGCTTAGATCTAAATGCTTATTAACTTGTCCAAATATCTAGTCTGAATAATAGACAACTCTTAGTCTGTCCACTGTGCAGTGTCTGCAGATGGATTTTTTACTCTTCCCCTTACTAAAACTACCGTGGCGTTTTCAGGAAGTTGTACTGGTTTGTATCTCTATAAAGTTACTGCCTAATACTGGACTGCAGCTATTGCAGAGCGCAGTTATTTTACATAAAGATCTTGCATATCCCAGTCTCTCAGTTTTTCCTACCCACCACCTCATTTTCTTAGCTTATTTTTAAAAAAAATAAAAAAGTCAAGAAGGTCCTGCCAGTGACCCAGGGATAGTTCACAGCTGTGTTCCCAGGTGGGAGGTATATTAAAATTCTTAGTTTTGGTCTTTCTCCCTAAGACAACAGGAACAACATGCTCATTTGTGAGATGGGGAAGAATATCAGTAGAATGAGCAAATCAGTAGCGTGAACTTCCCTACTCTGTTTACTTCTGGTAAGTGTTTAAGAAGCAATGTCTTCTGCCTTTAAAGGGGAAACCTGTCTAGAATTGTGGAATATTTCATAAGCAGTAACCAAAAATCATAGAAAAGCTTCTTAGCAATCTCAGACAACAGCCAAAACAGTGGAAAAGTTAACTGAGACTGAGATTTGGCAGAGCATCATTGTACGTCAGCTGTATTCGAATGAGGTGTGGGGACAAGCAGGCAAATTTTTGTATTAGTGGAAACCCCACAAATTTCCAAAAAGCTCCTGAGGTTACAAAAATGGGATACCCATGTTTCAGTGATGCTTCTTTCATTTAGTAATTTATATTAATGGCTATATTTTAATTTCAAGCCAGCTATAAATTTTGACTCTTCACTCTTAATACATGCCTGATTTTCAAGGGTAATCACACTGAAATCAACACATATTCCAGACTTTAAAGGCAATATTACACCTTTTTTTTTTTTTTTTAATTATTGTTCTTAAATTCTTGGGCTTATCCTTTGTCATTGACCAATTTGTCAGTAAAATTCAGGCATGAAATTGATAATGCCTGAGAACTAGGTTCATACCAACTGTGTAGGTGCTCTCCTGTATGTGAACAAAATATGCATGCATAAAATTGAGGTTGGGACTAACAAAAATGCATCTCGTTGCTCTTTCTTTGTGGCTGTCGTTTTCCATTTTTGCAATTTTCAGTCTTTCCAAACCAGAGGGAAAAAAAAGAACCATGACAGTTTGACTGAATGTGCTTTACTGCCTATCTTTTGCAGCTAAACCTGTAGTATTTAAATACACTGTTCTGCAAATAAAAATACTTTCTTTTAAAGAAAAAAGCCCCCAACAACCTGAAGTGGCATATTTGAGAACCCTCTTTCAGAATCCCCTTTTCTCAGCCCCCTTTGCTTTGTAGATTCGTATCGCACCCAGGCAGTAGTAAAGGAATAGTCTGAGATCTGTCAGATTTTATGGCTCTGAAAACCAACTGCAGAGTTCAACTCTGGAGGACTTCTAGTAGAAATAGCCTTTTTATTTCTAATGATGCAACCTGTAATTGCGATGTTGGCCGTTTCTCTAGCACTTCTTTAAAACCAACTCACAATAATTCTTTAGCAGCTTAATAAGAGAAAGAATTACTACCATTTTGAGAGTCTGCACAAGTTAGGCAGAGACAGACACATAGTTCCTGTAAAACCCTTCTATTTTTAATGAGTTATTCTTTAGTGTTTACATAATTCTTTAAATTCTTAAGTGCAGGTAAAGAAAAGCTTCATACCATACATATTAGTGCTTAGTTTACCCATTAGTTCAGCTGACTTGTTGAAAGCTTAGAGCTTCAAAATAAATGAGATTATTTGTTCAAAATGCCATCAGGTCTGCTTGGAATGACATTTAAATTACACAATGTAAATCAGTTTGACCTCTAAGTCCTTGTCATTATTTAGTGACATTTCGTACAGAATGAATTGTTTGCAGGTTGGGCAGTGTGGTACGGAGCTTGGCAGAAAGCTATAAAACAAATTATCCTTTCATTTTATACATCATTTGTTCAGACATTTGTAAAAATTGCTTCATTTTTCTCTAGTAGAGAAGTGTCAGTCAGTGGCTGGAAGCGCAGCAGCTGCCTTGGATACAGAGCAGAGCCGGCTGGGGCGGGAGTATCGGAGAAAGACACTGGTGTGAAATGCAGAAATCATCCTGTGCCTCAAAAATACTAGTTAATTGTCACATCTCCCTCTGGTGGCTGTTTCAGAAGAGAAGCGCTCGGTAACAGCCACCGGCTGAAGTTATTTTAAGTAGTTAAGGGGGGGCAGACACTGCAAGAAGCTCAGTGTCACCTCCCGGTGTCTGTCACCGCAGGGAGACCCCGCACCAGGTTTGGTTCCTGGCGTAGCACACGTCAGTCTGGGCACCCAGCTGCCCCCACTGGAATACAGACAGTGATATGTCTTAGGTGTTTGATTTTCTAGAACTTCAGGTGTCTCAGGGAAACATCTGCCTTCACCTGGAACACCTGACCCTGAGCTCCTGCCAGGACCAGGGCATGGAAACCAGTTTTTTGGAAAGCAAACAGTTGCTTTTCAGGTATAGGAAGAGGAAGTGCTGGCAAAACTATTACTACCTGATAAATGCAGAGTGCGCTCAGCTGTATTCCACCCCTTCTGGGCAGGGATAAATGCTTTTGGAAAGGGGGGCAATTGAACCCTGCATCTTCTGCATTTTTGACAGGCATTTTTACCAGTAAGGCTGTTTCTTGGAAATGTTTTTGTTGTTGTTTGTGGTTTTGCCTTTGGTACTTCTTGTGGTAAGGAAAGTTTGATTCTGTGAGTCTGCATTGTCTTGGGCTGGTGAGGAATCAGGTGCAGGGTGTCCTCGGTAAGGCCATGTCAGGAGAGAAGCGCTGCAGAGCGTTGTAAAGTTTGACCTAATCTTGAAGAAACACAGATTTTTCACACTAGAAGTTTGCTGGCCCAGGGATAAACACAGAAGCACATTGAAAGTGCTTTAAGAACTGTCACTTTCGGAAAGGGGGGCAATTGAACCCTGCATCTTCTGCATTTTTGACAGGCATTTTTACCAGTAAGGCTGTTTCTTGGAAATGTTTTTGTTGTTGTTTGTGGTTTTGCCTTTGGTACTTCTTGTGGTAAGGAAAGTTTGATTCTGTGAGTCTGCATTGTCTTGGGCTGGTGAGGAATCAGGTGCAGGGTGTCCTCGGTAAGGCCATGTCAGGAGAGAAGCGCTGCAGAGCGTTGTAAAGTTTGACCTAATCTTGAAGAAACACAGATTTTTCACACTAGAAGTTTGCTGGCCCAGGGATAAACACAGAAGCACGTTGAAAGTGCTTTAAGAATCGTCATTTTTGTGTAGGTGTCTGAGCCCTACCAAGTCCCTCTGAACCCTCCCCACGTTCTTTTCAGCTTCATCTAAGGAGTTGTGCTTTGCTGCAGGCTCAGGGCCGAGGCCCAGCTGACAGCCTGTCAAGGCCATTTGCATAATATTAAATTCTAAGATGAATTAATTTCTTTTAATGAAACATTTACTTCATGACACTTGTGGCTTTGAATATTTTAAGCAAAAAAAAAAAAGAAAATTTTAGAAGAGATTAAGTATTTTTAGACTTTAAAATGAAACTGGTTTTATAAATGGCTGAAAAACAAGTCTATCTAGTAGAGTTAAACTGGCCTCTCACAAATCCTCTCTCTCTCCTTCCTAGATGTAGCAATGTAGCAGCTCAAGAATTTTTAGGAAGGGTTTGGAATTATTAATTCATTTGCTAAGCATAATCTCTTGAAAGGCGATAATAAAATTTAATACTTGTCTCTTAACATTTTCAAGCCGATCATGGAGCTTAAAGGAGGCTGAACATGTAACTGCAGCTTCAAAAGGCTCCCTGAGGTGTGCCCCAAAGTGTCACAGTTACTGACTCCTGTAGGTGCCACACGCACCCATACGGGGATGGTTAGGCAACTATTCACTTCCCTTTCTAATTTCATTTTACTTCATTTAATGTATGTTTCTCTCTGTTGTTTTAGTCTTCATAGACCTTTTCATGGTTCTATGCTTATTAAGCACTAGAAAATTCTTAAGCATATTATGACCGTTTTTAATTAGCCTAATTATAGTAGTCTTTGTTGCCTGACATTTTTACTTTATGTTTTTATTATGCCCTGTGTTGTGTCTTTACCTATATTTTAGATTGTAAACTTGATGGGAGGAAGGTGAGGAAAAAAAAAAAAAATCATGTTTTCATTATGGGTCTTTAAACAATCCTGAGCTACCAAGACTGTTATTTAGGTAATAATTCTAGACGTTGGCTCTGAATTTCAGATAAGATCACAGTAGCAGTAATGGACAGCTTTTCTAACTGGCATCTTCTGCATCCCCCCCAACCCCTGCTTTTTGCAACTGGGGTGACTTTATTCATCATTTCTCTCCCATTTACAGTTTTCAGAGTAGGAGGATTAATGTCTCGCGTATCAAAGTTTCCACCCCAAGTGAATGGTGAATGCCAGGACAGTAACAAGAAGTTTTAGCATTCAGATCAAATAATGCATTGTGTATAGAATACCCTAGCTATCAGACACAAATCTAAGTCACAATAAGTTTCTTGAAGTATTAAAATAATTAGGATATAGCAATTCACAAATATTCAGAGGCTCTGTGAACCCAAGAAATAGGAAATACAAAAGTACTGTGAAATTTTCAGGATCATGTTTTCCCTAAATTTCCTCATAGCACATAGTGATTTTTTTATTTGCAGTTAGATAGTATTATCACGATTTATCTGCTTCCTATTTGGAGAACACACAGTTGCTTGAACAGTTTGCTCCCCGAATAGAGGAGAGGCAGAAAAATATTTTTTCAGTCTTTTTTTTCCTTCTGATGTGTGACAAGCAATGCCAAGTGCCCCCGCACAGACTTCCTCAGACTTATCAACGTTTGTTTAGGTCAAACACTCCAAACACAGCAGTGTTTGCTGGGAGCATGCAGCTATTGGCAGGCGTCAAACTGTGCACCGGACGGACACTAACTAATCATCCCCATTATGAGGATAAGAATCTGAGAGAGAGAACAAAACAGGTAAGAGTATTCTGATTGTTTAAGCTAATTCCTATCCATGTCAGTGGCTCCATTCCAGAAAACATGCAGTCTCTAATGGCACATTGCAAATGACATCACCTGATACCCTAATTGAACTAACTTATTTTAAGATGCAATTTAACTTTTAACTACTTCTGTGAAACTTGTAGTACTTTGAGCATCTCTTGACTCATTCTGGCAGCTGGTGTGTGTGTGAGTAACTGCACCTGGGAACTCGAGCTAGTTCTGAGTGAGCTGGGTTGGGTGCTGCTGGCATTAATAGACCCCGCTGCCCAGTTGGGCTGTTAAACCCATATTTCCTGATTTGCCTGATACTCCCTTCAGTTCTCAGGGTAACACAGAACATTCTATATAGAAGCCACCATGAGAAACTCCAGGCAAAGCTGGGGAGATTATTTTAAACTACCCTTTCCTATAATTTAGACATTCTAAAAGTTCTACAGGTATCTACCAAGGCCTTTCTGCAGACAGTGGCACCACCCTGTGTTGTTGCAGGCAGCAGCAGTACTGTCCTGCATCATAGTAGCCATAACAAGAAACTCTAAGTGGCTACTGAATAAAGCATGCATTTGGGTTTTTTTTAAAGTATTTAATTGAAATCACGTGGATTATCAATCTCAAGTCTTTCTCTGGTTCAAGATAAAGGAATCACGAAAGAGCAAGGAAATAATGGTAATGTGCCTTATAGCTTAGTTTTCTTCTTTTATAGATCTATCAGATCTACGCCAAGAGAGCTCCTGAGGATGTTTACAGAATACTGCGATCCTTCGGCACAGACTACGTCATCCTGGAAGACAGCATTTGTTACGAGAGAAGACACAGTAGAGGCTGTCGGTTACGGGACTTACTTGATGTAGCTAATGGCCACGTAAGTATGATATACAAGATTTCTAAAGAAAATACATTTTGCTTAAGTTCTTTTTGAAATACAGTTAGGATTTGAAGTAGCTTGGGTTATTTCCATTTCATCGGGAGTGTGGGAAGTAAAATCTAATGCAGCCTTTAGACATTCTGGAAATTGCCAAATTGAACACTGCTTGCTTTTAGTGGTATTTGATAATAAAAAAAGAAGTAATTCAGCCTGGGCAAAGTAACGAATCATGTCCTGATGAGCCTCAGGTTGGCGGTGTGCAAATAGTGTTGCCTTTCAGAGTGTGAATCACTTCATGGGGTCGGTTGCCTCCGGAGCAGAGGCCGGTTGGGCTGCCCCGTTGTGTCAGGGGAGTTTTCAAGTGTTTCTGGGGCAAACATGGAGCCACAGCAGACGTGTAACTCAAAGCAGAAGTGCACCTCTGACACATCAGCTTTATCCATAATAGAGACGACACTATAAATCTTGCTGGGCTAATGTTACTTTCTTCCTACCACATGTTTGATGTAGTCACTGTTAACAGACGCCGCCAGCCTGACCCTCTGAATGTATTGTCGAGGTTGTTTTTAGCTTCTTGTTATTCCCTGTAACTGTGAACTGCCTGAAGACATTTCACAAATCTGTTCCATTTCATTACAGATCATGGATGGTTTGGGAGAGAATGAACCTGATTTGAAACCTTCGTTGTATCCTCGCTTCTGTGAGGAAATTAAAAAAAACCTGCCTTCTTACACCACGCACTTCACTAGAGTGTTTCAAAACAAAACATTCCATGTTTACAGACTGGCTAAGCATAAATAACACTGTCCACCACGGCTTCAAGTTCAGTATTTTAACGCTAGGACCCACATTAGAAAATGCAGAAGAAGTTTACAAACATGTTACATTTGTAAGACATTTTACATTCATGGTTTCTTGTTTAATTACTGCGATGATTTTTTTCTTTTCTAGACAGTTTAGTTTTTATAACATCCTTGATGTTGCCAAAATGTTCATAGATTCATAAATGAATGCTAGCAGGGACCATTTTGATTATAAAGTCTCACCTTCTGAAGACCTAGGGATATAATTGTTTTCCAATTTTAACCGACTGGAAGACACACAGCAGGAACAGCCTGTGTGCCCACAGCAGAAGAGCTGCCTGTGGAGTTCTGCTCAGCAGTTTGGATTTTTTTACTATAAAATGACAGAACTTCAATAAAAGGCCGCCCTGCTCCTATACTGAGAGGACATTATTTTTGTGAATCCTGAAAATAGTCACAAAAATTAAATTTTGTCTTACAATCTGATCCTCTTTGACAGATCCTTGTGCTCTTTTAGTGCCTCTTTTTTTAATTCTTTGGGAATGTGTGCAGGTACGAGTTTCCAAACTTGTGAGTGTGATTGCAGAATCAGTGAGCGCAGAATCAGCAAACAAGTTTGAACAGTAAAATTTTAATCACTGTCCAGCATCTTTAGTGCTACAGAAACATACTGTTTTATAACATTAAGCATTTAATGAATTTAATGATGGAGTGTTACGTGTTTCTAACGAGAACAAAGGTTGGAGCATGCTTGATACATGTTGCATGTTTGTATCCTCGTAAAATGCTCAGAACATAAAAAAAACAACAAACCAACAAGTTTCTCAGCTTGGATTCTCACACCACTATTTTCTGTATTTGCTTTCTGAACTCCAGGGGATCCTTTTTCTCCCCATATGAATTCCAGGAGTAGGATACAAAAATTGAACACTGCCAACCTTACAAAAGAAAAATTAATCTCTAAAAATCAGCAGGGAACTTAGATATTTAAGATGTGTTCAGGTATTAGAGCTTTGCTTTACGTTACTTCAATCACAAAGCTATATATTTCAGCACAAAGTCATTGTATCCTTGCTTTTTATCCTAAAAGACAGACTGCAGTTATTCTAAATTGCCTTGGAAGATGATGACAGGCCTCAGTTCTGAGAATTTTGTGATTTGTTTGTACCCTGTGTCTTTTTACCGGCTAGAACTTTGTGAGTTGCATTGTCTTTCTAAAGGCTGCCTGGGTAACGCATGACTTCTGCTGTGTTTTAGCGCTGCTTTGGTTTTGTATTAAAATGAGAGATTAAATCTGATTGAAAGTCTAACAGTACTCTCCAACTTTAATTAGACATCCACTAGGATCATTTGTTTCTTATGAAAAACAGAATTGTAATAATCAAGTGCCTCTAGGCCAATGTGGAATTAACATTTGAACACCTATAAGAGTGTTTGTGGCCTGTGCAAATAACTCAGTTATAATAATTACCACTGCAATTAATTTCTAATGATGGGAAACTTAAAGTGCTACTGATAGCAAACTCCACATTTAATTTAATCAAGATGTGTAATGAGATTAGCTTTCACAACTGAGCTGTGTTCAATTCCAAATGATTTAAATGTTTTCCCTTTTCAGTTGTACTAAGGTAAATTACTGAAGAGCTGGAGATGGTCATGTCACATGCTCAAACAATTTTATATCCAGTAAATACTCATTAAAGAATGTTCAACATCTTTCTGCACTTTCATGCTAACACAAAAAGAAAGTGTGCTTTAATCAGGCTGTATTTAAATCAAACATTGACAGTAGCGAGGTTGTTAAACTGAGCAACTGAAACTCCTGAGTAATTTCTGGCCTGTATCCCTTAATGAGGTTGGAGACCACTGCAGTTTAACGTAATACAGTAATAAAACATTTTAATCAGTATTAAAACTTTAATTAGGCCTGTAATGATACATGCCTGTTCTTGCTGAAAGCATGGGTCAGTGAATTCCTCGATGAGTGCCTTACAGTAATTGAACACAAGCACACGTAAGGTGACGTATGTCTAGGCTGTATTGTCTTATTTTAAAATGTGGTTGTATCTTTCTTTAAAGGTGCAGTAACTTTCCTCTGCTTGAAATGAGAGATTCCGAGATCCAGAGGTACCCTCTCACTTTCAGAAATTACTTGTAGGTAACGGCTGATACTAAGAAGCCCTGACTGTAATTATTTTTAAATAGACCTTTTTCAAAAGTACAGTCCCTAATATCGCCAAAGGAGAAATTTAACCGTTTTGTAGAAACTACCAAGTGCAAATTTTTTGTTTGGTTGGTTTTTTTGTTTGTTAAAACAAAAGACCCCATGCCACCATTGCTCTTGGGAAAGCATAAAAACCAAGGGCTGTCATGATCCAGAACCACCACAGTAAAGTAGTTTCTTCTTGTAGCACAAACATCCCCCAAAGTAGCACCTGAAACGTGAAGTATTAGATGCAGAGTATTTTGGAGATTGCCTGCACTCCTGCAGTTCAGAGTCTTCAAAGCCTTGGTAGCTTGTGACACTTCTAAACAACTCCCTTACTAGAAAGATTTAATACTAAAAGGGAAGGGTGTATTTCAGTGAGCACATACAGCATTCAGAAGACCAATGACCCTTAAAACAGTAAAATAGAAAATGCCAGGGAACAAGCCCACTTACCAGCTCAGAGGGAAGGAGCACAGGCACCAGCACTCGCAGAGAGGGAGCAGCTGCTTCTCTGTCCCTCATTTAAAAGCTGTCCCACCCCAGCAAGGCCAGGGCAGGGCTGGCCCAGGGGTGAGTGGTCACTGCTTGATGAGGGCTGGGGCTCTGAAGTGACACCTTTCCTCTTCCTAGAGGTGGGGCATAAGAGGCTGAGACTTCTAGGAGGTAGGTGGTGTTTCAGTGGTCTAAGAATTATTTTCTCTACTTCCCATGTCTTGCTATGATCTATATTCACTACATTAAAAATGTGCAATTATATATTTTTTTGTATTTCTTTACCTATTCCTCAACTACATCATCCTGGTGCACCTTATTTGCGAGCGGTTGCTCTGGCATCGCTCCATCGCTGCATTAAGTGTGATCCACCCCGGAAACAACCCTCCTGGCAATTTACTGAACGCATTTACTGAACTCTCACAAATAACTAGCAATGGGAATGGCACCATCATGACCTCTTGTGTGTGTTACCTGTTGTCCACAAGGACTTCTAAGCTGCTGATTAGCAGTGGAATTGTGGTATGAATTACTTTTTTTAGATGGCAGAGACAAAATGTTATTGAGTAGACGGAGCGTTTTTAGGGGAGAAAAGCCTTTGAGATCCATAAGTATGTTTTCATTTCTTGTTTCAATGTTCTGCCGGTGAGATCTAACACAGTTATTTTATAATATGTTGTTGGAAAGAGATGTAATGACTATTGTATACTAAATAAATTGTGTAATTTGAAAATCACTTTTTTGGTATTTTTTTGTTGGGATGGATTGAGAAAGGCGCAGTTTAGGAATCAGTTTTGTTTCAGTCCAGATGGAAGAAAGCAAAGAGTTTTTCAGCAGGAAGTTTTGACTTTTCTCAAGCTCGTTACATTACGTATCACTGACTTTTGAATCATTATTGTGTTTTAACAGCTTGCGGGGCTTCCTTTCCCTGTTTCAAGTTAAAGGTGTGTCAGCCGTGATTTTTACCCATCCTCACCTGATACTTTAACTTTAGCAGGGTCAGTAGAGGGAGGCAGCTGCTCCATTGAAGCAAATACAATTTGCTTTGACCGATAGGGATCTGCTTGTTTCCACGCTGTAGCGGGAGGCAGCTGCTCCATTGAAGCAAATACAAAGGGATCTGCTTGTTTCCACGTTGTAGCTCAAGCTTTAGTGTTCCTACACAACGAAAAGAAACCTGTGTTCTTCGGGAGTGCAAAGTTCCACGTGTGTATGTACTTGGATTAGGTCCTGATCCAGGTGAGATTTTGGAAGTCTCAGTGTTCTTGCTGCGAGGAAAAGCGGGAGGTGCCAAGCTGTGGTCACACCTTCCATGGGTAGTACTGCTCTTAAAGTGATGGTTTGGGGAGTTCTGTCACCACTGATAATTAGGTACAGACAGGATATCTATAAGATGAATTTAGTTACTAGGACATGATCATAACGTGCTGTACTTGCATAGAGTGGATTCTGCATTCCAGAGAACCAAGGTTTTCAAAACCTTGTTCATGAAATTGCACAGTACAAGCTATTTACTTAAATCCCCAGGAAACGGCTATGGTTTTTAGCGTTTCTATAATTAAGAAAAGCTCAACTATCTTCTTCTTGCCTAATCCTGCTCCTTTTACAGCCAGGGTTTCCCTTCTAAACCTGCTCATACCAGCCAGTAGGTCAGACCTAAGGACAATCAGCTTTTGTACGGCTTGGCTATATGTTATATACTTGGAATGTCATTTTAAATGGGGAAAAACACAAAAGATTAATGTACTTGACAGGCAGACAGATTAAATACTAATATCCACATAAATATTTAAATTTCAGGCCCTTACAAATATTTTTTACTAAATGAAATGTTCTTACTACATGTTTAAAGTCTGTAAAGAACGTGGAGGAAGATTAATAAAAGTACCAGATTACTGAAAATCCCACTACCTAGGGACCCAGTGATGGTTTTTATTCAATTTTTTTTTCTTCCCCACTCACCCATTGCAAAGCTTTCTGTTGTCAGCCAGCTGTTCCTGTCCTTGAGCAGTGTCAGTGCCACACTCTGATAAGCTTTTTTGTAGAGGTACTGAAATACTTGTATGTGTCTGTGTAAATGCAGAGCAAGTGAAGATACGATTTCAAAAATTGCCCAGTAATTAAAAGAGCAGCATGCAAATTAAAACAGATAAATTAAGTGAGCTAATTAGTAATCCCTAGAAAAAGTAGGTTTTAACGGGGCATGGCAGCTGCAAATGAGTATGTTGTATTACTGAGATTGTATCTACACAAGGTCCTATAGCAGTCATAAAGCATTTTCTGACCTTTTATTTTATACTATATATTGTGTAAAATGTATGGCTAACTGCAATTACGCAAGCAGCTCCCAGGATGTGGTGGTTATTATTATTTATGTTTGTTTACAAATTAGTGCCATGCCTGCAATAGGGGAAGCAGCAGTGGCAGCTTGGGGTTGGCTTCCAGGCTGCCTGTTGGGGAATGGGGAGAGGAGACCCCTCAGCCCCACAGCCCAGCTGCCCCCCTGCCCCCCGGTCACCGGGCTGCACCGTGGTGTTTGGGTTTGGTTTTACTCTCAGGCAGTGACCAGTTCCATACTTCATGGACGGAGCAAGAGCTTCAACAGATGGGACTGAGACCCCATGTCACAATACTCTGCAGTCAGGTTATTTGGGCACTTATTCCCAGGAAGGCAGGAGAGTTAAATTTTTTCCCAGGTGCTCAATAATTGGTGTATTTGACACATTAAGAGCAAAGCACCACCAACTGCTCTGCTGAGTGCATTCTGTTGCAAACCTCAACTCGGCATTCCTCTGGGAATGAACTGAGATCACAGACTGGGGAGGAAGAGGAGGGAAAATACCTGGAGTGTTTTGAGGTGTGTTAGTGTCCTGCAGTTTCTCCTCTTTGTCAAGCCTGGAGATCTTTTCACCATCTACCTTCTGTACTGAGACATGACCTGTTCCCGCTGTGACTGTAGTTAAGGATTTCCTATTTCTCAGATGAATTCTCTGCCTGTTGCAAAACCCACAGCCGTGCTGTATGCAAACACTTGGACATGTGGAAAAGCACTGGTCTGTAAATGGCAGCACGTCTTGAGTCCACGCAGCAATGAGAAGTAACTGCTGGTTCCCTCAGCTTTCCAGTTAGAACGGGGTGCACGGCTCACATCTGTGGAAGCAGCTGATCAAAGCTGAGAAAGAAAGAATTCAGTGGAGTCCAAGCTCTAGTCAACCTTCAATATACGCAAGGAAGAGACGTCATATACAGAAGGCTTATTTATTATTTCTACAGTGCCTTAGATATGCATGAGACTTCACAGGCAAATACAGACAGTCCTTGCCCCAAGGAGCTTACAAGCTAAATTAAATTAAAACCAGCCAAAATGACAGCATATCCATAGTTATGGAAAAAACACAAGGTACTCAGACAAAATTACTGCTGTTTGGGGAAGGAATAGATTTTTGTGCATAATACATATTTACTTCATTTTCCATAACCTGACTGTGACTGCTGTGATCATGAAATACAGAATCTGACATACCTGACTTGTGAACACTGCAGGATATTTTAGCCTGTGTTTCCTCACAGGTAAATATATCAGTAAAATTACAAAATCATAGACTGTGTACACCACCTGTGAATCAAAACCATTAGGCATGGGTAAAAATGGCCATTACCTTTTCCAGGTGAAAATGCCACGTCAGCAGCAGTCTGTAACCGTTAGTGGACTGCTCAGAATTTTCCAAAGTGTCTCACAAATACATGCAAGAACAAGACACTGTGTCAACGTTTCTCATTTGGGAAATGTGCAAATTAATCCAGCCTGCAGATTGCAGTGACCTAGTTGTTTATGTTTTTTAATACATAAACCTATATAAAAATAAAGGCGAGACCTCCTAAAACAAGCTACTGATGCAACTATAAGCAAAGCAGTTTTAATGTTTTCTGCTTTGTTTTAATAAAATAAATTACCTTAGACTCTATACAATATATTCATATTATCAACTGATAATATATATAATTTACATATTATATATATACGACAGAAATTAAGATTGTGTTACTGTGTTCTTGCTGCACTTCACTCCATTTCTATATACAACCAGTAAAAAAAAAAATAATGAAATTAATTTTATGGAGCCTTCTCTTTTTCTAATATTGTCAAGTTAAAAAAAAAATATTCCAGAATACTAGCTTAGACTCTATACAATATATTCATATTATCAACTGATAATATATATAATTTACATATTATATATATACGACAGAAATTTAGACTCTATACAATATATTCATATTATCAGCTGATAATATCATATATAATTTACATATTATATATATGACAGAAAATAAGATTGTGTTACTGTGTTCTTGCTGCACTTCACTCCATTTCTATATACAACCAGTAAAAAAAAAAATAATGAAATTAATTTTATGGAGCCTTCTCTTTTCCTAATATTGTCAAGTTAAAAAAAAAAAATATTCCAGAATACTAGCTGGACATTAAATGGTCTGAAAAGGGGATTGATAATTTATGCATAATATTCTACTCCCTGCAACCACTTTTATTTTTTTCTTGTGTTTCTCTGTCTCTGATTAATCATGGTTTTCTACTATAATGTATTTGAGGGAGGCCTGCATTATTATATGAAGTCCCAGCTGAGGAAAGTTCTTTTTTGGATACAGGAAAGACCTTCAGTACTCTGACATCCTACAGACACAAAGTATTTTGACAACATCCAGGAGACGTTGGGTTTTTCTGCACTGGAAATGCATCTGTAGCCCCAGTCAGCTCTTCCTGACAGGGCATTTCATGGCTACAATTGTAATGCTTCTATGAAAGGAGGTTTGGCAAACCACAAGGGACAGGACTGTAGATGGAAATGACGTGGTTCAGGCTGGTCCGTAGTTTAGACTCAGTTTAGCAGCCCATCAGAAATGAGAGATTATGTGATCTGTGGTGTTCGCTACTGAAATGCCTAACTAGTGACCTTTCACGCTAGTCTATGTTAAAAAACCTGGCCTTTTAATTAAGAAAAGTATTTAGTTGCAAGGAGCTGAACTTGATGTGTCGTGGCTAAATTCAGTTTCTACATTTATATGACAGCACAAAGGGATTTCATTAAGTTATAACCAAAGTTAAAGATCCCCATCCTTTACCTGCATCCATGGACTCATCTGCACTATGACCAGTGAGCAGGTGCTGGAACTGAAGCTGTCAGGGAAACAAGGTGGGTATAACACAACGTGGACTTCGATTCCACAAGAAAAAGACAATGTGCTTTTTTTCTTCAAATAACTGCTAAAGCTCTTACTGCAAACAGTACACACAGCATGCTTTCTCCATGCTTTGAGCACCATCTTAGCTTAGATACATAGGATCTCTCAGAGAGTCCTTTATTACCTTAAGTGACAAAAAAATTCTATTTCTTAAACACTGTATGTGAATGACTAAGTACTCCAAATTTGAAAATAGTAGGCTTGGTCAATTACAGGTCTTCTGCATCAATATGTGAGTACAGTTCCCTTAGTTTCTCAAACTTTGGTCCCCACTCTTTAATGTCATCATACACTATACCCTCGTCCAGTCCAGGGGAGCTCGGGGTGCTCAGACTGCTCACCACCGAGCCTTCTCCTTCGGTGCAAAACACCTGCAGCGAGTCTTGGGGCACAGCCTGGGGGTGACAGTCGGCATCTCTGACAACATCCGACCAGTACTGACCCAAGTCTGTGCCAGTGAAAGAGAAGTCTGTA